AGCTGTTCTTCTAACGGGTGTGGAAACAATTTAATTTTTGTTTTCCCAAACACGAAAACCCATTGGCCCATAGTACTCTTTGTAGAGGTTCACATCAACCAGTCATTGATAATGCAATTAGCTTTATACAAAGGTGGATCTAAAATCTAATTTAAAAAGAGTACATAATTTACAGGTTCAAACAACAGCACAAAGTTTATCTTACGTTTTAGACTGATAGAGCAAGAAACAAAAAGAATTGTCTTTAAACAAATCTCAAAAGTTTATGCAATTCATTATCTCAATCTCAGCCTGTCTTAGTGATGAAATATTGCTAATTCAACCGACAGTTAATATTTGATTAGAATCGCTGGTTTAAAAAAATCGTTTTTGAGCTTTTGGAAACACCATTTAGAATATGCATATATCAGGACCATAAGTATTTCTATTAAAGTTCAACTCGGTTGGTTTAGTATATAGTAAGGTTAACCAATACACTCTAGGTGTCATAGATATTTTATCTACCGATATTTACGCATTTGTAAAAGTTAAGACAATGTAGAAATGTTTTCTGCCCCCCCCCCTTTGTTTTTGGTATGCTTTTTAGCTGTATAGTTCCAACAATATACGTACCTTGGCTTGAAACATTCCCAAGCCACTATATCTGTATGTAAATTCCAAAAACAAATGCCCGGACAGTTAAGATTATCTCGTGCACAAAAAAAATGCACCAATTACTTTCATAGTTATATATTTTAATCATATAAAAATAAGAAATTTCGTACGTTTGTCTGAACTCTGCTTACATCAAAATACTGGAGGAACAAATAATTGATCGTTATTTGTAGAACATCAGAGTATCTGAAAATACTAACTGTATGCCCGGTATTTGTTTACAGATGTAATAGTTTTGATCACAGAGGCCAGACACGATTTCCTATATACCCCCTTTAATTATGATTTCAATACATGTATTCTAAGCATAGAATGTAAAGGGGGTATGTTCCATAATGCGTCTGGACCCTGCGTTCTTGAAATTGATTCAGTAAAAGCATGGATTAAATTGCAATCCTTTAAAGAACAGTATATGTATTTTGTAACAGTGCATGCATATTTAAAACGGAAACCTTCAATGATGTACATATACCAGTATTTTTTTTACTTAAGGCCACAAAATCCTTAACTGTAGAATTAAGAAAAAAGAAAAGACACGTCCCATTATGTATAAATTTTATATAGTGTTTGTACGTCTCATATATGTTCTTTGCACTAACAATTTATCTGAATTTTATATACATACATACTGCAAATGTGCATGTCTTCTAAAATTAATGCAAAGGTAAAGAAAATGCGTTTAACCTATAGGCACGCACGTTGATGTACACGATATGCAACGATGGCAAAATTATTCTCGAGATAATAATCAACAAAACATGGATTACCATTAAGAGTTGTACGAACACGTTAGAATGAGTTATTTTTTGAAATTATAAAAATGATGATTAGTCAATTGAAGAACCGTATCTTTTTTCTGATCTAATAAGAAATGTAATGATTTTTTTTTTAATTTTAAAAGATAATTAAATTACTGAATTATTAGGCAGTATGTAAATGTATGTTAGAAACATTTACACAGACAATTGCATTGGTTAATTGTGATACAAAGATCCATTATTTGTACTGTTAAAGTGTTATAGAAATTCGTATCAAAAATATGGATTTCAATGTAAGGTATCAGCCCCTAACAGTACATTTAGTTACTATTCCCGTATTTTGTAGCCTGTCCGAGATTAGTCGTGAGAGACACTTGGTAGAGCACCTGACTAGTGATACAGGGGTCCTGGGTTTGATTCCCTTGTCTAGCCATACATTTTCTCCTTTCCTGTTTATAATCATACATACTCGTATACCTGGACTGACTCTAAATTGTTATAATTATATCTTATCCATAAATTTATACATAAACATGTGTATGTATTCAAATTGTATCACACATATCACACAAATGAAATGCATTTAGATTATCTACATTTTCTAAATAAATTGTCATTTGTACGTCCTTGGCTTATTCTTTAAAATATTATTAGATTGATATCCAGATTACTTTTTACATGATTTCGAATGTCATGAAAGTGCTTCATTCTCTACAGAATTTAATAATAGACGTAAAGTAAGGAAAAAAGTAAAATTTTTAATTTGAATTTATTATGACGGCATAATGATCTGACACCAAAACACTTACTAGATCATGCCATGATGTTACGTCACACTTTTATGACGTTTATTAATTGTGACATCACAATTGTTCAGCATTGAAGCCCAGAAAGAAAAAAAGGAAAGCATACTACATATTTGTGCAACTATGCTCTGCTGTGTCAGGAGAAAAAGAAGAGTCAGTGTAGAATTTGACCCAGCGGCAGTCAGAAGTAGTTCTATTGAGGAAAAAGCAAGTACAAGCACCCAGGAACCAAATACAGACCAAACCACAAACATACCAGCGGTTAGCTCTCAGTCCAAATCGTCCACTCACTCGTCCACTCACAGTAACGGATTTTTTTCTCGTCTTAGAGAAAGATTCAGAAAATTAAGGAGAGTGGGAAAAAACAGGGTATTACCTATTGCTACCGCAGAAAATGCTGACATTATTCCCACTGTCCCTGGGTTTAGACAAGAATTTTTTCTTGCCTCTGTTTTTAAAGAAGTGGAAGCATCTTCATCAAATTCCAGTCCCAGTTATTCGTCCAACGAGTCAGAAATGAAATCAGTATCGTTAATCTCGGCCATCTCCAGTACTGCCGTCACCTGTTTGCCGGAATTTGAGGATCATCACAGCAGTATTCTGATTGCGTGTTTTGACCGCTAGAGAACAAATGGAGAAGGTAAATGTTTTTTTTTTCGTTAATCAATATTTAAAATATATCATGTATTATACGTGTCTAAGTGGATTTCATTTATTTGATACATGTATATAACTTTTTTTTTTTTGTAAAAATGGAGAAAATCCAATTTATTCCATTCCTTTTAATTTACTCATCCCCATATCATTATCGATGGCTATATGTGGGCTATATTGCATTACCGAAATTTTCCAAAACTGGACGGTTATTATTTGCGAATTTTTTTCCCCTTTCATTTCAGAAAGAATATGATATTTCAAGTTTTGAATGAAGCATTTCACCTGAAGTTCAATGTCAAAATTCTAATAGTTATATATCTTTCTGTGATATAATCTTATTAAAACGTGTAATAATTTGTACTATCTTCTTCTCAGATAGAGCCGAAATATAATATTATGGCATTTTTGCATTTAATTTTAGATTCCTTACAAAAAGGAGCTGAAAGTATTTTTTTCGCAGCAAATTAGACCTCAGTCCTACAAGTTCTTTGACTGGAGATCTCTGATAACTCTACCGAGACCAAAAGACTACTACGTCATATATGAATCACAAAGACCTGTTCAGTATCATAAGTGACTCTGGTCGCGGTTTCCTCGGGAGAGTTTCTTTCCATTGGATCGTATGTACCATTATGAACTTCGCTTGTCGATACAGGGATCTTGCAACTCTTTTTCCTTCCTTCTTAGTAGGAAGATTTTGCAGAGGGTTAGGTAATGAGCCAATTCATTACTGATGATAATGACTACTTGTATATGTACGTCAATTTATATCTTGAAACTTGAAACTTTTATTTTCACTAAAGCCCCCACATGGGGTATGTTAGTACAATAAGATCAGTTTCACTCGTATGTATCGCTATTGACGTGTGTGACTGAAGGTATCTATTATGGCTGATATACACTAGTTTTCTCTATTCTGGTAGTGTGTGTTTTGATACCTATTTTGATCCATAAGTTTACAATATTCATTTTTATTATTTTAAGGTTAAGAAGAATAAAATAATTAATCAAAACAATGACTCGTGTTTTTTTTTCTTATGCGATTTAAAACTTCATGTATAAATATCCAAAGTAACAAACTATATACACACACACAAACACACTATTCCCTATTGAGAAGTTGATGGCCCTTGTGGGGGAGAATTAAAACGAGCCATCAACTTTTCAATAGAGAATAACACGCACACCAGAGACATATAAAACCATGGTTTTATACGTCTCTGCACGCACACACACACAAATCTTCCCGCTCATTTTTTTTCTTCCCTTTTCAGAGATGTCCAATCACACAAAATATTTTGTTAATTATAGATTTGAGAGTTCTTAATTTAAATTCATGAACCTCCACAAGATTATGTCTGATTTACTTAACATGCAAAAGTGTTGTTTTTTTTTACTGGCGTATCCAAGAGATGAATATCAGCTCGAAACTATTTTTCCAGAACTAGCTTACTGTGTTTTAAAATTATGCCAAGTATGGCCCTACACACTAAGAATAGGAAGATTATTCCTTTGAAAAGTGTTGGGGAGCATAAGAAAGGATTTATTCTAGTTTCTACTATTTTATTTTATATTGTTTGGTACATATAAACGTATGATAATCAACAGAATATCAACAGAACAGAATATACGGGGTGGGAGTTCTACATCTACCGGTACTGAAAAAAATTAAACTCCAACAATCTCTGGCAAACATAAAGTGGACTATAAATTTACTGGGAGCAATCTAAAATGGCCTGTTTAAAGAACGATTTTATCCTGGATCCACCTATGAGCACTTTTAATTTTTATTATTATTTCTGTGCCAAAATAAGGGTAAGGCTGGGAAAAAAAGACTTTCTAAGCTATCTTTGCTAGTTTAAATTGTGGACTTTTACTATAACTCTTTACAAATATATTTATCTGTTAAACATGTACCTACATGTGTATATCCAAAATTTTATGAAGGAATGTTGAGGAAGCAAAATCTAACTAGAATTAGCCCTTTCATCTCACTCTATGTGTATTTATGTAGGTGGATCCATGCTAGTAATAAACTTGTTTTGTTCATTGAATTATTAGAGTAATCCAGTAACAATGTCTTCAATCGTGATTGTACGTGACTATGCAAGTTAAAACTTAATGCTGAAAAGTATCTTCATTTTTTATGCATACATGAAAATTGTGTAGTATAATTGATGTTACAGTATCTAAACTGTAGGCTTAAAGCTGAACTTAACGAAAGAAACTACAAGTCGTAACAACAAAGGACATTTCAAGCAATCACTCATTACAAAGAAAAATGCAGGTGTTCAATGAATGTAATGTACAGGTTTGTAAAGTTCTCTCTTACATAATTTTAAAACACATCACATACACTAAAATAAAAATAAGCATTTATAAATACCCATTCATACAAAGATACAAATTAATAATTGAGTCTATGCATTTCAGAAAGCAAACATGTTGATACAAATTTGAACAGCAAAACCTTCCAGAGAGAGGGATGATCTCTGACCTTTTCCCTCAACTTTCATCAATGCTGCTATAAAATATGTAACAACACGAGAACTTTCAAAGAAATGTCAATGCTGATGTTTTCATAACACTACAGAATGGTACAACCAGCTGACTCGCCAGTCTCAATGATGGAGGGGTTCTGTCCCTTTTGAACCTCCCTGATGCAAGCAATAACCTGAAAATTATACAAAGAACATTATAAAGCATGGCTATCTGGAATGTTTTACATTAAATGTTTACATGTATGATGGGGATAAAATGAAGGAAAAAAGGCTCTTATTTTATAACATTCTCCAACAAAAAAAGTTTCACTACTTCTATCCACTGGGAGGAAATTTGATATAAGACAGGGAAAGAAGTCAGGGCAAAATATTAGTATATGAGTATATTTAACTCAGAAGGGAATGTAAAATAGTAAATTATCTAATGATACCCTAACTGAAGGACATGTTCATACATGTAAATCGAAGTACTGAAAACAATGTTCTTTCCATTAATAGAAACTTACATCACTTGCAACTGGGAATGCATTCAACTTCAGTTTAGAAAACACAAGTGTATCCCCAACAGTTACTTCAAAGGAAGCTGAAAATCAATATAACTTCAAAGGTCATATGTTCAAAGTAAATTCTTAAACTGCATTTGCTAATCTAAGCTAAAGAAATTCATATTTAAAAACAGTAAAACTTGCTTATAAGGAGGTCACTGGGACCTCAAATTTTGCTTGCTTATAACCAAGATTATTTATATTCCTGTAAGGAACACAGTGAAAATTGCTTTAGTACCAGGGGATTCATAGAAAATTACTAATAACTGAAATTTTCTTACAGAGTATAACCAAGTTTTACTGTAGATAATTATACAATATCAATAAAATTTGACGTATAATGCTACTGTACATATTTCTGGCTAATGCAGTGGACATCTGCAAGATTAACTAACTTTAATTCTAACACCTTAGAGATATTGGTCTACTTACTTCTTCTTCCCACAGTCCCTGTGACCTCAGCATCCGGAACCTCAGCCAGAATCTGTTGACGAAGTTCTTGGAAGCGAGGTCCATAACCTCATCCACCACTGAAACCAATGTTTTAAATTACTGTATATCTGTACTACTGTTAAGTCAAGTTTGAGACTGGTTTTTCAGATCATAAATAGGGATTCTTTGGTCATTTTTTATCAAAAGAATTGTAAATACCAAAGTTAACAACTGAATATGAAAAGTGGAATATAAAATATATGAAATGAACATATGATAAAACCAACAAGAGGCCCATGGGCCTTGATGGCCACCTGAGTATCATGAGTTTCTCAGGCTATGAGCACTAATGGACAGTGTTTTCCCTAACAAACAGATACCTGCTAAATTGACCACTTCAATACGCAAGTTTCGAGATTGTAGCTCTCTAACGATAGAGGCGCAAAAAGTATCCATATCAGCATGGAAAGTGGGACAGGTTGTTAATGTACACAAACATGCATATACAGGGGCTGACAAATCCCATTGCCCGACGCCCGGGGCTAGTGAATTTTAAGGGTGGGCAAGTGAAATTTTATCAACCACTTGCCTGAGGGCAAGTGACTTGAAAAAAAAATAAAATCCATATATGTCATAGATTTAGAGCTTGGCACAGGGGTTTGCATGATCTACTAGGTATTTGTCCTTTTTTTTTTTTTTTTTGAATATATAAAATTTGATAATAGTTTATTGTGGGGCAAGCAAATATTCAGGTAGGGCAAGTGAATTTTGACCATGCACTTGCCCTTGGACAAGTGTCCAAAAAATCTATTTGTCAGCCCCTGATATATAAATGAATGATGGTTAGGGCTTTTAAAATGTATCTAATGTTATGGAAAGATTATACATGAATATATAATGTCAAGCAATGATTTTATGATTATATTGATCTATATTTTACTTGTTTTACAAAATCTACTTTCAATTAGGATCCTTGAAATCAAAAGAACCATCATAGTTTTTGTGAAAAAGATGCTTCCTTGATTGTACAAACCTTTACTAACAAGTCAGTGGACTCTTTGAAATTATCATAAGGGAAAGAGTCAGTGTGTCATTCAGAATGCCGACGTGCAATGATGAGATGCATGTGTTGGAGATCCATGTCTCTTCCCTCGTCTGATATTTTCTTTCTATTTCCGATTTTTTGGTAGAAAAAAACTTATGCCCTTACTTAAATTCGGTGATTTTCGAGTTGATGAGAGCATCCCAATAAACAGTTATGATAGACCGGTATATCGATGATGTAACGTATCCAATATTAATAACTGTCCCACCTGCCAGTTTACACAGAAACAAAATTCCCCTCTTTAACAAAAAAGCGCACCAAGGGAGATAATCTCGAAACTTGCGTATTGAAAAAAATATCCCTTTGAAATAAAATCAAAATTAAATTGTTGTAAGGTCCACAGAGATTTGTCATAAGCCTCTGGCCAAAGCCTGTTACAATTGATCTCTAACCCTTTACTTTGAAATAAAGGGAATACACTGAATGGACCACCTGAAACTGGTCTGGACTTGTTCCATTTTGTAAGGATTCGATCATCATTGTCATATTCTTGCAACTTGACTCCTAGAAGTTCAGGGCTAAGATCAACATCTACTTTTTGCAGTTTATTTATTCTGTACATTGATTAAAGTGTTATTCTACTAACAAGAAGAAGGATTCGGTTATATGACTTTACATAAGTATAATATCTCATGATTTTTTTAAGTTGGTGAGATTTTAGAACTAGACTTACTCTAAGTTCTTAAATTTGTAAAACAGGGTTTAGAAGTAAAGAAGAAAAGGTACACTTGTCTTTATAATAGATTTCAATTTATGACTTCCTGAGAAAGATCCCTGGTCATTGGAGGCATCAACTTATTATTAATTTCTATTGTAGAGGGTTTGCTACTTATTGTAATCCTTTAAAAACTGTTGCTTACTTAAATGTGAAAAAAACAAACAAATATTTATTTACTTCATCTTGGTCCTTGAATTGATTACGAACTGTATTATGCTGCAGATTTCAGTTTAATCAATTTTAAATCAAATGTCAGATCACTTTAACTCCATAAAAGTACCAAGAAATTTAACTCTTCAGTGTGCAGAATATAGGACAAGCTGTAATCTCTAAGTGAGGTAAACTCCAGCACACCTGCATATGTGATGTCACAATGTGCCTCCATTACAACCACAAATGTATCATGGTAATTTAATACAATTTTTAAAAAAGTACTTTGACCTGATAGAGCTATGCTAATTTTATATAGATTCTGTCACAATTCATCATTATCCATTATACTTCAAACTGGTGAAGTGAATGAGACTTTTAACAATTTTGAGTCATTTATTTAAGTTGTTCTTACTATATCCTCAAAGTTTGCGTAAAAATGTACATTTTTTGGTTAATTAAAACATAGAGCAAAGACTCACTATACCTTTAAAAATACACTATTATAAATATTGGTCATATAAAATTAAATTATTGATCTATAAATGACAGTATGGTCATACAATGTTCCAATTTCTACAACTTTCATTTTATTATCGATTATTATTAGGGATCAACATTAACGGTTGTCCGAATGCCCGAGACAAGAAAATTTTCAGTTCGGGCAAGTGAAACTGTCGACATACTTGTCCGATTGGGCAAGTAAATTTTTCTCCTAGAAGTGTACATATTTATTGAGTTTACATTGATGTATAAATATTTACATTTCCAATGTCTTTGTCCGAGATAAAATTACAAATTGTAAAAATACTTTATTTCTACATAAATCTACTGGTTCATCGATAGGCGCGGTTAAAAAAAAATCACGTGCGGGGCGGGACACACAGAGACAGAAGCGGGGCTATTAGCACGGGAATTTGCAAATCAGGAGCATGTAAATATAAGGAATAACTGTCAGATTTTTTGGATTCATGACGATGATCAATCGATTGGCTTGCGTGATAATTTCATGCATAAACGCCTTCGGCGTTTATGCAAATTATCACGCAAGCCACTCGATTGATCACATCATGAATCCAAAAAATAAGACAGTTATTCCTTAAATAAAAAAAAATAAATTGTACAGTTGATTTACGCTAGGTACCTGACTGACATTGAATTGTATTCGGAATTCCTTGGTAGTGCTTCTAGATTATACCACCCATTTAAATATCCAGTTCGTTATTCTGTTTTCTTTCTTGGTAAATACGTTCTACGTTTATCTATGTTAACTTCATATTAATTAAGAAATAAGATTATTTATTCACTCAAAGAATATGTGACACAATGTATCCCTATCAAGATATTATGTTTCGTAACAACTATCTTCCTTAAGCGTTGCTTCACAGTTATCTCTGAAAATCGCGATTCTCAAAGCATTCTACATAAAAATAAAATTTTGAAAATATGGATTTTATTAAAAGGAAACAGAGGGTTATTGCTGCATGCCAGTGTGTACGTGTTAACAGGTTATATTGACAAGGACAGTGGTACATATTTATGTACAAAACACAGCATCGAAATTTTTTTCATATATTTAATTTGCCAAGTTGACAGTAGTGTATTTGGTCACACTTTTTCCTATCATAACATTTACAGTAATAAATAATATTTTTCTTTGCTAATTTTGGGCAACCAAGTTTTGCATTCGGACAAGTCAAAGTTTGAGATGACTTGCCCGAAGGGCAAGTGAATCTGAAAGTTAATGTCTATCCCTGTTAAAACAGGTGTAGTGATCTATCATAGTGATAATAATGACGACGCAATAGGACAGAATCCCACATCAGTCTGATCAGATGATTAACATCATGAACATCACATTCCAGTCATGATGAGTTAAAAAATACTCAGAATATACAATTTTCACAAAATGTGTATTTCAACTTAAAATTTAATATGAAATAGGTAAAATGTCTTACCAATATTCCACATGCACTTTGACCGTCATAATGATGTAGGAATCAACAACTGATTGTTTCCCCTTGTTTATTAGACCGCTAGGTTATCAGTCAACCAACTCATTTAACGGGTAGACAGACATCTCGGCCCAACGACACCTCGGCCCGTCACGTTTGACACCTCGGCCCTAACAGGTCGGCCCAAGATAATTGACACGTCGGCCCATATAAAAGACTCCTCGGCCCAAGCAAAATTTTGTGATAGAAATAATTAATCCAGTGTCTTTCTGACGATTTAACGATTTTCTTCATAAAAATCAAATTGGGAAAGGGTGGGGGTCTATGATAGATAATTGGTTCATTTCTATTTATAACTAAATAACTAAAATCATATACCTCCTTAACTTGCATCTCTTTCATGTGGAAAATGCGCAATATATATGCTAAGTAATACTATATTCAACATACTAGCAATTTCTCTGACGATTTGAAACATTTGAGATAGGTCAATAATCCGTGCATGAAAAGAAATGGATTACATTTAAACATTTTTTTTTTTTGGTGAGGTTAAAGCGAGAATAAACAGATGCAACCTTTATAATTTTTTTTATCTACAATATGGTTGAAACCATTAATCTTTCTTTAAAATTTTATGTTTCATTGACTGAAAAGCACACATTGATAGAAGAAGCGTAGAGAAAAACGGACTCGAGATAGTTTAGCGATGTAAATGAATTTATGAATGTACAAGGGACATTTAAAAGTTCTGTTAACTGTTTGATAAAATGTTAACTTTCGTGAGTGTTTACTTGGGAAATAAAATAGAAAATATCCAATGGATGTAAATGTACTGACTCACAATTAAGCATGCTCGTAATTAACACCTCATTGTCACCAGTATAATACACACTTGACACTCCAAAGGATGCGCCGTGGCATACTGCATGTTTGTTTATCAATTAGCAGTTTAATTATATGTCTTCTCATTCCTTGATTATAGTCAAAATGCTCATGGAAGGTTTTTTATAATCTAAAAAAAAAAATTGATCGCATATTCGATTATTTTTTTCAACCAATATTTTATTTAAGTCGCAATTTGGAAATATAATATATTTCGTAATGAAATTTTGCTTGGCCGAGATGTCTTATAGATGGGCCGACCTGTCTTAAATCTTGGGCCGACCTGTCTGAGCCGAGGTGTCATTGGGCCGAGATGTCAATGGGCCGAGGTGTCGTTGGGCCGAGGTGTCTGACATTCATTTAACGGTATCTATGCAATTCAGTCAGAAATATATTGGGTTCAGGAATTTTAGCAATTACATGATATTAAGAAGGGGTCAAAGAGTGAAGATGACTAATAAGAAGATAAGAAATTATATATGTACTGTCGTGACCATTTTTAAATTAACAAAGTTATCAGTTTATTAATGTTTTAAAAGTAATTTTTTTAAGTTTATTTGTTCCTTAAAAGTTTCCTTATACCTTGTTGCTTAAAGAAATATATAAAATTTTGTTTTAAAAACCCTTTCAAAGTATGTAAGCGTTCTTTACTTTTGCTATAAAAATTATAATAAATGTTTCTGTAATTGATAGAAACTGGATGTGGTTACCAACACCTTCGGAATTCTTTCGAGATGGTACAAATTCTCTCTACACCGTTTCCTCCCAAATCCCGCGTTTAATCAAATATGGCGACGAACAGACGAGGCAAGGAGGCAGAGACCCCTATGGAGGATGATGATGCATTTGTTTACGTGTTTGACAGGAGAGATAAAGATGCACCTGATGTTAAAATACCTACAGGAGGCTTATTTAGCTTTGAAGATTTCAAAGAAAGGGTTAGGGAGGTGAGTTAGGAAACGAAACACAACAATGTTTACAAACAAAGCCATCATGGCGTGGCTGATATAAACTAAAGATGCAAAGTCTAGAAACCATGAAGAAAATCGTTGAATTATATGATAAAGCAAGGAATTTTCAATTAATGAATGCAGGTAAAGCTACTACACAGCTAGATTAATCACCGTCTAATGTTGACAGATTTTCATTAAGAATCAATTGCAAGCCCCCCTCCTTTTTTTTAAATGTTCAATAACTTTGTGAACGACAATAATTTAACTGTCTTTCTGATGTCATGAAACTTTAATATTGCATTAACAATGCATTTAATTTTGTATTTGTAGGCCTTGCAAATCAAGAAGAAGGATAACTTTGTTATTGCCACAACAAACAGAGAGGAAATTAAAGATGATGAAACTTGGGGTATATCAAATGCTCAAAATAAATATATTCATTAAGAAAACCTTGCATATAAGGAGGCTTTTTCATTATATCTACTGCCATTCATAGCCACTTCTTGAATATAAGCAGTTGTTACTTATTTCGATGAGTGTTGTGACCCAATGCGATATTTAATTTTTTTAAATATCTCAGATGATATAGATAATGGAGACACTCTCTATGTTCTGAAGAAGATTAATCAAGAGCTCTGTGCCCCAGCAAATGAAAGAGTTAACTTTGTTCCACATTATGACACTATTGTGAAGGGAGGACTGTATGAGTACTATGCATCAGAAGGACAGAATCCACTACGTAAGAATAAAGTAGACGATTTTAAATGACCTGATAATTAATTGATATATAAATAGCCTTAATTTTGAAATAATGAATTCAACATATGCATTGTAGAAATTACTAGAAAATCTCGATTGATTTTGATCAATATTTTTAAAATACAACAAATGAATTGTAAAAAGTCTTGATTGTCATTAATCATTATTTTAAACATTATCCACAGCATATGCCTTTGCTGAGTTAATTGATAATGCATTATCAGCCACAGCAGAAAATACTGGACCCAGAAACATTGACATTTTATTGGTGAGTGATTTGTAACTACATGTATATAAATATAAGAGGTTAGCAAATAAAAACTTTTGGTATAGTACCTTTTCAAGAACTGGACTGAGAAATAAAATTCAAGTTTTTGTCTCATGCAGGAGCGAAAGTGATATTTTTGTACTGAACAATGGACTTGAGATTTTACAAGGTATAAGTAATTGCAAATCAGGTGAAACTATTTCTTATTGCTTTGTAGCATTTTGATGATGGGAAGCCATCAAATCATGCCATATTTATAATAGATAACGGAAAAGGTATGACACCAAGACAACTGAACAACTGGGCTATTTATCGACTCTCTAAATTCAAACGCAAAGATAAAAGAGGAAAAGTGTAAGTATTTTTACATGGTGATATAGATTCACTTGAAGCAAATCATGCTTAAATGTAAAGAAAAGATGTTCTCATGTATAAGGGCTTTTTACTGAAATTGAAATGTTGGCATTGTTTTTGATACAGCCTGGTTCTTTGATTTAATAACAATTTATTTATTATGTTTGACAGGAGCTTTATTGAGGGGGAGGATGATGATGAGGAAGTAGAGCAGAAACAAGCCCCTCTTTGTCTTAACAGTGATATCTCTTACTTTGGTGTGGGAGGAAAGCAGGCTGTATTCTTCATTGGAAATTCCACTAGGGTAAGATTTTGATAACCTTTGCAATTAAGAACTTTGTTACATCTCTTTTCTTTTGCATGCATTCACAGTTTTATGGCTGAGATGTTTTTATTATAGGTTTAATTCATTTCAGAAAAAAAATATATATATACATGTATATGGGGGAAATATGGGACAGTTATATAAGCTACATGTATTTAACGATTCTACAGGTCTCTAAGCCCTATTTCATTTTTTTTTAAGAGTTATTATCTTTTTTAGAAATTTTAGACATTTAATGTATTGCTCATCACAAGTGTCATGCAATACATACATGTATGTACTTGTATATGGAATGTTACATTACTTTTTCATGAAATATTATGTGACTTGTAGATGATGACAAAGGCTATGGATTCTCAAGATATTCATGAGCTGACAATGTCAAAGGAGGAATTCAAACAAAAAGAGATCAACAAAGAGTCGGTGTACAGTGGCTTCATCAGGAATAGAAAGGTTAAACATTTTACTGTCATACAATAATGTACAGAATGTGTTATCAACTCTTGAAATGTAACTGTTTGATTTGTAAGGAAACACATTCATGAACTTTATCTTAATTGGTTTATAATTTAAATGTTAGAATTTAAATGAAGTTGATTTTATGGTGTTGAAGGTAGGGGACTCATCCCACATTCAGCCAGAAAATGAAATCCTGCAAAACATCATTAAAGAAGAAAAGAAAAAACAGAGTTTTACTGTTGTGGAAATAGGTGGCATCAACCCAAGTCATGTTTCGTATCTTAGACATCATATTGGTGACTGGACAAGACAACTGGCGTAAGCTACATTGAATTTATTGTATCTTTAAAAAGAATACATATGGCCTATTTAAAATTGAAAAACATTTTAGACATATTCAGGTATTTACCTTTATAACATTTTATTTTCTTAAAATTTCCAGAGCAATTATCATAGAAATAGCATGTAGCATGTAATATGTTTTATTTTAACTCTCAGGTTATTACAAATTTCTGTTATCTTTGTTTCAATAAGCAGTCACCTTGTAGAATAGATAACTTGGGTTTAACAAGACCTCGTTTTATTATAGATGTAAAGAGTAAGCATGGCGTACAATAGCAAAGTCGTAAGAATTAACTGAACATCGAACCCAATTAAATTTACTTAACAATTTATCCTATTGTTACAATCTTTACAGGCATATTTACCATTACTACATCCATGGTCCAGAGGGGAATCGAGACATAGATGATGATGCAGATCAAAGACCCAGCACTCCATTCAACAACATCAATATCAGGGTACAACACTGCCTTTCTTCTTAAGCCTCAACTATAGCATCGCCAGGGCATGAAGAGTATCATTCCATTTTTCATGATTAACTTCCAACATTTCTTGTTTATAAGGCTCAGAATTCATTTCTTTCTTGCCAGATTTACACTGCACTGTATTTCAAATTTGCAAGGAGGCTTTTTAGTATAAAATTGAAGGTCAAGTTCAAAGTTGAGCTTTTCTATCCATGCTTAATACTTTTTTGAGGGACAAAAACTGGTTATTAAGGAACACATTTTGGTAATATTGTACCATGAAATCATTAGTTTTCATGGGGGTTAATTTTCATTGATTTCATGTTAAGGAGAGACCTACAAATTCATTTTCTCTATGAAATTTCGAAATATGTTTGTCTAATATAACTCTTCAACATTTTCTGATTCACCAAATCAAATCCAGTGAATTTTTCCTCAACCCATAAAAATTTGACCCATTAAAAATGGATGAATTTATGATATACTGGTACATGTATACTTTTATTCTCAAGAATAATTAGGAAAATTGTTTTACAGGTAAAGCTGAATGTGAAAGGAAAGCCAGCAACAGAAATAAACTTGCGTGACATACAAGACGACATGCAGTCACTGTATGTCAGGAACTCAGCAAGTCAGTTCTTCTTTAAGGCAACCACAGAAGGAGCGGGGGTAGTAGAGGGAATTATCCGTTATCATCCCTTTCTTTATGACAGTGAAACATATCCATCTGATGTTAATGATCCACGAGGTACTTGCTTTAGAAATAAGAATTGTCTTGGTGTTTCTTAGTTAGCAAGCAGAATTCCCCTAATTTTGAAATATTTAGTACTAGTATGAATTTTTCAGTCATGATACCTTGTAGTTAACATACTGATGCAGAGAACCATAAATGATTTATTTGCTATACACTAGTGCAGACAACCTTGTTTTAAGAAACCTTTCAGCGGAGGAAGGGAAAAAGGTCATATATGCTAGGAGGTCTTTTAATACAGGTTGCATACTTTCCACAGTGTTCAAAGGCATGAATTTACATGTAATAAGCAAATAATATATAATTGTAAAAATATACAAATTGTAGTTGACATTCATTTTATTTCATGAAGTGTTTACAGGGGTAGACAAATAGAATTTTTCAGTACTTGCCCTCGGACAGGTTACCATCGTAAAATTACTTGTCCTACCGAAAAATATGCTTGTCCCACTTTTTTCTTAATTAGCATAAATTTAAAGCATTATCGTTAAACATTAAATTATTTCTCAACTGATACGTACACTACATCGGGGACGAAACTAGAAATAAAATAGCTTAATTTTTTGCACGGAAAAATTTAGGGGTAAGTCTTGTTCCAGGGAGATTTCTTAGCTTGTGCAGTGCGCATAATTTAAACTTTTCTCTGTATTACTTTAACATCCCAAAAATACTGAAAGAGAAAAAAAAAATTTTTGAATATTATAAAGTATTTGATTATGAAAACCACCACTGCATGTCGATTGTGACTTTCAGTGATCGCCAGTCAACAGCTCCAATTTTAATATCAGTATAACACGTTTGTACTCACGGCATGAATTTTTACATTATTTTTTACAATACCTAAAAAGGTCTAAAATCCTCTTCAACTTTTTTGACATGGAATCGATAGCTGCTATGTTTTACGTCCTGTGTGTATTTTAACTACACATAAATGGGTAAATTCTAGAGGAGTTCCGACCGAGTATTCGATGTAGTGATGAACAGCAGCGAAAAACAGGTGCTCTACTGTGATTCATTACATTTCAACAGCGATAAAACAAACAACATTTGATTTTTTGTTAACTGGAGAAGCACTTGTCCGTGGGCAGGTACCACTTATCAAATAACTTGCCCGCCAAACAAAATTGGTTGTCCCGGGCGTCGGGCAATGCTATTTGTCTAGCCCTGGTTTATTTGCTACTTTAAGTTTTGTTCAATTGTAAATTGGTTTTATATTTATGGGTACGTTAAGCATGTTCAATAACATGTGCCTTTGATCTGCACAAAAATCAGTTTTATTTTTTGCCTAATGTTGAGCACCTGGTAATAGTGAGATTTCTTAACCATAATAAAATTGCTATACAGATTTTTCCCCAGAAAATTTGTTTTACAATATATAACTTACTTGTAAAACCTGCAATATATTATTATTAAATCTGTAGATGTTTAAACCAACAAAAAAGAAGCATGGTCGACCAAAATTGATAGTAGGAATTGGAAATATATGTTTTTTGTTTTTTTTGAACATGTTTTACTAAATACATGTAAATCAAAAGGATTGGAAACAAGTTCTAAATTACAAGAAATATATGATCTTTAAAACAAGGTAAAATTGCATGAAATCACTAAAACTGTTTTAGAAAATCACAGTCATTGGTCATGTCAGACAGGTGGTCATTTAATACAAGTACAGTGTATAGGGGAATGCCTTGGGAGAGATTTTTACAATCAAATTCTGCAGTGAGTTGCTTAATACAGTGGGATGCTATGGCAGTTTTAACTTTAACAGGAATACTGTACGTGTATTTTGCACATTACAATTTCTTGTTGGCCATGCAATGAAATAATTGAAGTACTCATATATAGTATTTATTATACCCCACGCAACAAGTTGCGTGAGGTATAATGTTTTTGACCCGTCCGTCAGTCAGTCAGTGTGTCAGTCAGTCAGTCAGTGTGTCAGTCAGTCAGTCAGTCAGTCCTGTTTTTTTGTCAGCGCAACTCCTCATAAACCGCTGCACAGAATTTCGTCAAACTTTGCAGATATTTAGGACACAATGTGTAGATGTGCATATTACCAGGAAATTCCGATTCCTTTATTTTTTCTGGGAATTTCGGCACTTTTCAACTTAGATTTTTGGCCATATCTTGAATATGGAGATGAACAGTTTGTCAGCGCAACTCCTCATAAACCAATGCACAGAATTTGGTCAAACTTTGCAGATATTTAGCACACAATGTATAGATGTGCATATTACCAGGAAATTCCGATTCCTTTATATTTTCTGGGAATTTCGGCACTTTTCAACTTAGATTTTTGGCCATATCTTGAATATAGAGATGAACAGTTTGTCAGCACAACTCCTCTTAAACCGCTGCACAGAATTTGGTCAAACTTTGCAGATATTTAGGACACAGTGTGTAGATGTGCATATTACCAGGAAATTCCGATTCCATTATTTTCTGGGAATTTCGGCACTTTTCAACTTAGATTTTTGGCCATATCTTGAATATAGAGATGAACAGTTTGTCTGCGCAACTCCTCTTAAACCAATGCACAGAATTTGGTCAAACTTTGCAGATATTTAGTACACAGTGTGTAGATGTGCATATTACCAGGAAATTCCGATTCCTTTATTTTTTCTCGGAATTTCGGCACTTTTCAACTTAGATTTTTGGCCATATCTTGAATATAGAGATGAACAGTTTGTCAGCACAACTCCTCATAAACCAATGCACAGAATTTGGTCAAACTTTGCAGATATTTAGCACACAGTGTATAGATGTGCATATTACCAGGAAATTCCGATTCCTTTATATTTTCTGGGAATTTCGGCACTTTTCAACTTAGATTTTTGGCCATATCTTGAATATAAAGATGAACAGTTTGTCTGCGCAACTCCTCTTAAACCGCTGCACAGAATTTGGTCAATCTCTGCAGATATTTAGTACACAGTGTGTAGATGTGCATATTACCAGGAAATTCTGATTCCATTATTTTTTTCTGGGAATTTCGGCACTTTTCAACTTAGGTTTTTGGCCATATCTTGAATATAGAGATGAACAGTTTGTCAGCACAACTCCTCTTAAACCGCTGCACAGAATTTGGACAAACTTTGCAGATATTTAGTACACAGTGTGTAGATGTGCATATTACCAGGAAATTCCGATTCCATTATTTTTACCTTAAGAGTTTTGCCTTTTATTGAAGAAACTTTCCAGCTAGGTAATAAGAAACTTCACTGGAATCAGCTTTTTATAATGAAATTCTATGTGAAATATTTTATGACCTTAAAAGACCCCTATTGATTTTGAGATCAAAATATTAATGGTTTAACACAAACACACACTCACACACACACCATCTTCGATAGTTCTCTCTCTCTCCCCCCCCCCCCCCCTTCAAATTGGTGTGCTTTGCCTTAAATAATTTCATAAGTACAGTATATAAACAGATTCATATGACTACATCATAATTTTGTTTCCATCAATTATTTAAATGTGTAAACTGTCATGTGTTGGACATGGACTTACACTCATTAACAAATCGAAATCACTGAGGAATTTAAATAACAGTTTGTCAGCATAATTCCGGCACTGAATTTCCTGAAACTTTGTAGGTATTTCAGAATAATGTATAGATTTGTATATTACCAAGAAATTTTGATTCCATTATTTATCTAGAAACTTCAGCCCAGTTAAATTTGTAACATACAAAGATTTGAATGTCCTTATATGCAAGAAGTTTTGATGTGATGATTTTTTGCAAGTAATGCCCCTTTTTTGAATTATACTGTGTATTTAAAATGCACTGTGCCATTCATTACGTGTTGCATTGTCGAGTTTTGGGGAAGCGTGGGGTATGTGAGCTTGCTCACTTTTTCTTTCATTTTTGTTGAACATGTATTTGACCTAAATTATGTTTAATTGTAGGAGAAACAGAGTTTGATGAACATGATTATGCTGTCAGCACCAGACCAGCAAGGGGGAGGCGCCCTATTTTTGAATGCTATTGGAATGGTAGACTTATCCCGTACACTACTGTAGAGGAGTAAGCAGAAATTTATGTACAAATTGATTATTGTGATAGGGTTTATTTGTGAATAAGATTCAGTAATTTATGGTAGCAAGTTTTTAGAAATAAAAACAAGGTAAAAAAAATTCTGCCGACTTTATTTGTGAAATAATTTAAACCTGGACTTATTTTCCTGTTTCTTTTGTACTGTAGATTTGATTGGTGTTCTGAGCCAAAGAAGAGCCGAACTATTGCAGTAGAATGCTGGAATAGGTTTGTGGAAGTGTTTTTGTATTTCATTGTTACTTGTAATATTGATCTTTAAAGCTTAGCTACATGTAATTGAGAGGTGAAGAGGAATGAATTGAATCTCATATGGTGTCAATACTGTTAAGCTTTATTTGTATATGTAGATACAAGTATATTGTTTCAGAATATCTGGTGTGCTGTTCACAAATGACCACTTCCAGGTCAGCACCAATAAGCTGACCTTTCTTGACCTAGAGATGAGATTACGAGATAAGAGCTCTATATTCAGTAGGGTAGTAAATGGACAGGTAAGTACTGCACATGCATCTGTGTGGTAGGAATTCGAAGTAAACTTTTAGAAAAAGAAAGTTACAGCTCTTCTGTTAGAAGACTAAGAAATCTTTTGTGATTGTGAAGTGTCCGTAGTCCATCTGAAATACATTTTTCAAAACACTGCTTCTCTTACAGATTTGGTCTCATTGCAGTAAAAAATTGATAACAAACAGACTATACTTAGATACATGTACATACTTCTATAAGTTTTTGATTTGGGCATGGGGTTGCCATGGTTACTTATAAAAAATAGGATTTCTTGTGAAATTCTTTCAAAGAGCTTCTTTTACAGGTTTTGGTCAAATTTCAATAAAATGTGGTAAACTGGTCATCTGTACTAAAATACATATAGGATTTTGACAAACAGTATTACTGTGGTTTAATACTAAAAATGGGAATCTCAGTGCTCTCTGTGAATTTCTTTTGAAATCTTTCTCCACCTACAATTTTGTTCTGATTTCCATAAAACATGGAAAACAGGTATACCATACTAAGATACATAATTCTTTTCCTCAGTTTTTATTAGCTCACCTGAGCCGAAGGCTCAAGTGAGCTTTTCTGATCACTTTTTGTCCGGCGTCCGTCTGTCTGTTCATCTGTCTGTCTGTCTGTAAACTTTTAACATTTTTGACTTCTTCTCAAGAACCACTGGGCCAATTTCAACCAAACTTGCCACAAAGTATCCTTAGGTGAAGGGGATTCAAGTTTGTTCAAATGAAGGGCTTAGCCCTCTTTCAAGGGGAGATAATAAAGAATTAGTGAAAAATTAATAGCATCTTTTAAAAATCTTCTTCTCAAGAACCACAGGGCCAGGAAAGATGAAACTTGTGTGGAAGCATCCTCACGTAGTGTAGATTCAAGTTTGTTCAAATCATGACCCCCAGGGGTAGGGCGGGGCCACAATGGAGGATCAAAGTTTTACATAGAAATACATAGGAAAAATCTTTAAAAATCTTCTTCTGAAGAACAGCAAAGCCATGATGAGTCATATTTATATGGAAGCATCCCCAGATAGTGTAGATTCAAGTTTGTTCAAATCATAACCCCCTGGGGGTAGGGCAGGGCCACAATGGAGGATCAAAGTTTTACATAGAAATATAAAGGAAAAATCTCTAGAAATCTTCTTCTCAAGAACAGCAAAGCCATGATGAGTCATATTTATACTGAAGCATCCTCAGGTAGTGTAGATTCAAATTTGTTCATCTCATGACCCCCTAGGGGTAGGGTGGGGCCACAATGGACCATCAAAGTTTCACATAGAAATATATAGGAAAAATCTTTAAAAATCTTCTTTTCAAGAACAGCAAAGCCATGTGTCATATTTATATGGAAGCACCCTCAGGTAGTGTAGATTCATGTTTGTTCAAATCATGACCCCCCAGGGGTAGGGCGGGGCCACAATGGACGATCAAAGTTTCACATAGAAATATAAAGGAAAAATCTTTAAAGATCTTCTTTTCAAGAACAGCAAAGCCATGTGTCATATTTATATGGAAGCATCCTCAAGTAGTGTAGATTCAAGTTTGTTCAAATCATGACCCCCGGAGGTAGGGCGGGGCCACAGTGGAGGATGAATGTTTTACCTAGAAATATAAAGGAAAAATCTTTAAAAATCTTCTTCTGAAGAACAGCAAAACCATGATGAGTCATATTTATATGGAAGCATCCTCAGGTAGTGTAGATTCAAATTTGTTCATCTCATGACCCCTGGGGGTAGGGCAGGGCCACAATGGAGGATCAAAGTTTTACATAGAAATATATTGGAAAAATCTTCTTCTCAAGAACAGCAAAGCCAGGTGTCATATTTATATGGAAGCATCCTCAGGTAGTTTAGATTCAAATTTATTCAAATCATGGCCCCCAGGGATAGGGCGGGGCCACAATGGAGGAAAGTTTCACATAGAAATATATAGGAAAATTTTTAAAAATCTTCTTTTCAAGAACAGCAAAGCCCTGATTGATCATATTTATGTGGAAGCATCCTCAGGTAGTGTAGATTCTTTTTTTGTTCAAATCATGACCCCCGGGGGTAGGGTGGGGCCACAAATGAGGATCAAAGTCTTAGATAGAAATATATAGGAAAATTTCTTCTTCTGAAGAACTGCAAAGCCATGATTAGTCATTTTGATATGGAAGCATCCTCAGATAGTGTAGATTCAAGTTTGTTCAAATGATGACCCCTGGGATTGGGAGGAGCCACAATGGGGGATCAAATTTTTACAAAAGAATATATGGGAAAAATTGTTTAAAATCTTCTCAAGTACAACAAAGCCATTTGTTATATTGACATGGAAGCATCATCAGGTAGTTCCCCCCCCCCCCCCCCCTCGTTATTTTTTCAATACTGAACTGATTTGTGTTTTTGTTTAGCCAATGTGCTTAGGTGAGCGATGTGGCCCATGGGCCTCTTGTTCTCATTGAACAGCTCTGATAAAAGAAGAATACAGTTGTGAATATAAATTTAAGATATATTTTTCAAGTTCATGTAGCTACTTTAATACAAACCAGTAGAGCTACATTCTCATCAGAGACTTTTGGTTTTTATGCACTTTGACAAAAAATTCTTTTAAGGAAGTGTATGTAGTACATCGCATGTTAAAAGCACTGTACTATGCTTTTACAGGTTTGAACACTGAGGAGTGGAAGATTTAGCTCAATGTACATTTAACTTAATGTTTTTAAAATGCATTTATTTTCCAGTTATCTTGTAGGAAAAGCGTACATCAATTGAGAAAGAGTTCTTAAACTGGTTGAAAGATTGTCATGAACAGCATGACAAACAGATCCACTTCACTGGATATTCAGGTCAAGTTGTGAGAGCGGACCTTCCCAAGCAGAAGCAGACCCCATGGAGTCGGTACAAAAGTGTTGTTTGGGACAACAAGACATTCAAAGTGGGACAGATGGTTAGTCTTTTTGAAAATTACTAAGTTTTGTTCAGAGTGAAAGATGCTAATGCTGGTCATCTAATTGAAGAAAAGGAATACATGGCAGATCAAAATGCTTGCTGATAAAAGTTTCTAGAATTGAATTTACAGTCATAAATTTGAAATATTGTTGGTACCACATACATGTTTGCATATTCTAATGCAAGCTACTCTCCATTATCAATTGGTGCATGAACATGCAATTTTTTTTTTTAAATTACAAAAATTGAAGAAGGTAGATGTATTTACATGTATTTATTAAAAAATGAAGAGATTCCTTTTACAGCTTACCTATATATTGTATAAGGCAATTTGAAAAAAAAAGAAAAAAAAAAGATAACATTCGCATTAAACAAAGAGCAAAAAATTCAGAAGTGCAGGATCTCATCAAACAACCACATTATTATCTCATAAACAAAGGATGACTGCACTTAAGGACATGCGAAATTTGCGACAAAATAAACTTTCAAAACAAGCATTTTTCTTTTCATTGCAAGAATGGTCAACATCCAATCTACAACTTTATGTAATTACGTTTAATAAAAGTGTGTATTTACGAAGTTTGAATCTGTTTTCAAAGGCAGGGGTCATCACAATTTCTTGAATCTCCGTTCGATAATGAGGACGCCCACTTTTTTACTGACTTTATACATAGTCAGCGCATGTTTGTCTATTGTTCTACGTTTAACAGTAGTTGTATATTTGCATAAATAATAATGTGTCAAAAGGAGATTAGTAGACAAATATGCGCTCATGGTTAAAAAGAGAAAAAACTGCTTCTTCTTACAATCGTTCTCTGTGTTGTAACCAAGGATTGTGACTTGTTGAATATTATAATTCACCACGTGATTTCTTACCTCAGGTAACTTTGTGAATACTAGATTCCGTCACGTGACTTGTAAGGTAGCATGTTTTGTGCTAACTAGGACATTGTGTTCGAACACGTTAAGTCATCTGGCATTGATATAAAATCTGCTTTAATCACATTAACGTGCTCATATTGTTAATTTCGTTTTGAAACCTTTGTCAGAAGTGTATTTGTGCCATACAGAATGGAGAGGGAGATTGGAAAGAGTGATCACGTTCTTTTTTCCAAACATGTCATTGTTATTTATCAAGTCTAATTTTAGACCCATTCTTACAATGTTAGCTCCACCTCTCTTGCATATCTAATGTTCAATCAAGGGCAGGTAAGTGTAAATTCACTATATTTGGAAAGCAGTAAGGACAAAAAACATTGAATCATTTTATTGTATCACAGTCTAAAACCATTTTAAGATTTAAATTTGGTTCCAAATTGACAGGATTCTTTCATAAACATACAAAAGTGAAATAAGGTTTAGATATAAAAGCAACAGAAGCAACCGAAAAGGACCCAAAAACAGGCGTTAAGTGCAGTCATCCTTTAGTTTCATGTATTATGGAAATTCCTGAATCTGAAAGGGGAATTCAATTAAAAAAAAGTTACAAAACCTATAGTTTTATGCATTTACTTGTTGATTTCCATATGTAAAGTAGACCTTTTAACAATTCTGGAATGAGAAAATTTTTGTTCGTCACAGGTGAAGATACTGAGAACTACCCCTGTACTGCTGGGCACTATAAAGAATTTTTATCTGTATGGAGAACATGAAGAGGACACATTTGCAACAGGTGAGTAGTTCATGTACAGGTTAAGTCAAGAGGAGTATGGTGAAGCAACTAATGTGTTTGCCTTTCCACCCTAGGATTGACCAGTATTGCCACTGTTTTGTTTTTTTGCTTCTTGTGTCAATGGACAAGAAATGGACAAGAAATTATGTGTGTAATGGCTTTGACTAGGGATTAATTTTTGTACACTCTGGTATTAGTTTGGCTCTTTTGACACTTTTTACAATGCAATTTATTTGTCATGAAACTACAGAGGATATGTTAGCAATCACATGCATAGTGTACATGCACAGTGCACCCCAAAAACCCCATACATTTGATTACTATGACATCAGGAGGTTGGAACTTCAAGCTTTATCCTTGAATTCTGTTTGTATAGGTGGTGAAATTGAGATCCAGCAGGAGCCACAATCTCTGTATAATGAGATCAGGGTGGTGCCACTTTCTAGGCTGGACAGACTTTGTGGTGCTGCCTCTGTCAAGCGCTATTTAGAGGAGGAGGAGTCTAAGTAAGGAAGATTACATTATGGCTTACCACATGAGTTTTAAAGATATTTAATATGTACGTGTTTGATTTTAAGGTTATTGTGATATTGTAAATATATTATTATTAGATTGCCTGCTTCATTGATCGTAACCTGGCCTGAAGGTGATGTTGTCAAACCAAATGAAAAAAGACCAGCAGGAAAAACCATTGGTATATCACTTAATGAGTGAAAGAATAACAGTGTCATTTGTAGAATAAAGTTCTCAATTGAGAAACCAGTGCGTATGGAAAATGAAATCAAATAAGAAGATAAGGACTTTCTGAATTGTATTGATTTTACAGGTGCTCTAAAAATAGAAATTGAAAACAGAAAAGGAGAAAAAATACAAAAACTGCCAGGAACCAGTGCCCAAGCTTCCCAGAAAAAGCTACTTGTTGAATTAAAAGTTGTATGGCATAGTAGGTCAAGTTCCAATTCTTGTTATAGATGGAGATATTTTATTTGTTAAATCAAAAGATGTATTTTAATGAATTGTTGTATTGCACCACGTTTAAGTGTATATGATTATGATAGGTCCCAATGGAGATCAAACCATAGTGTCACACATCAGTCAGCATGGCAAGACTTGGCCCTACTGGTTCAGGAAAATGGGTAAAATTTGCAACATTTTCAATGATAGTCATATTAAATATATATGAAATTTACATAATGAAAAGTTATTGATTTAAGTTGTACAAGTCCTTAAAAAATGTCAGTTGGACTTAGCTGATGTTTCTTGTATTTTTAGAGAACATTCACAACTTGGGTCCCCATACTCTTCAGCTTCAAGTTGTGCTAAATGAGAGTGGATCTACCATTTATGCGGGGAAGAGTCTACCATCTCATCATATCAAGTTCACAGTCACTGGTATGGAAGAAAAGAATATTCAAAGCACTTTTAAACCCCTTATTCTAGTCTTATAAATCTTAGTCAAAATGGAGAAATACACTGTATTAGAAATCTTATCATCAGAATACTTTCTGAATGTCCATAAAGTAAAACTTACATGTGAAAGAAGGATGAGTAGGTTATTTTAATTCGTAATTTTAATCAAATCTCCTGTAGCAGAAAATTGTTTGGAATACATGGATTCTGTTTAACAGAGGGAGACCCAGAAAAATTCACTATGGGGATGTTAGAGGGTCCCTTCAGAATTGGACAGCCATTCCAGATACCACTTGTGTTCAGAGATGCATTCAACAACATCACAAAACCACTCCAGTCATCTACACCAACCATTCAGGCTAGGTATTTCAATATTGTCTAAATTTGAAACTCTATAGATATTATTCTGTGGTAAAGACTGTGTAGGCTAAAATTATTGAATGTACATGTATTTATGTGTATATTTTCAGAGATCTTGACATTTCTTATGAGAAAACTGTAGTTAAAGGAAGTAGTCTGATATTGTCAGGAATTGTCGCAAAAGGCATCATCAGCGAGAAACACACAGGGGTAAGAGGCGCTTCAGCTGTTAAATTTATCTACATGTATTAAGTAGCAGATTAAAAAAATGCACAAATCATACTGGAACATCACAGGATATGTTGTTTTTCTACGTTTTAACAGCTGGTACATTTGCATCTGATAATTGATTTCCTTGTAAATTTCAGAGCTATGGAGTTACTATCACAGTCCCAGGACTAAGAGAAGATGCACAAGCTCTGAAGATCAGAATGTTACCTGGTATGTGTTATCCATATTCTTTACACTCAGTTTGTAAGGAAGGGTTGTGTTTATTTCAGTGAACTTTTGAAGGGGGGGGGGGGGGGGGGTAAGCAGTTATCCTCAAAAAATTGCAGAAATAAGTGTATTTACAATGTTTACATGCTCTGAAGAATTTATAATTAAGTGCATGTTGCATTTGTTTTAATTAGGACTGCCAAAGGCTTTGAATGTGAAACCAGAGGAGAAAATCACCATAGAGAATGGCACAGCACCAGTATTCAGGGTGGAAGTGTTAGACTTGTCCGGCAATATTACCACTGACAAAAATCTCACAGTTACCTGTAAAGTAAATATCATGAACAGTGATTGTGTTAAAGTTATTTTCAAAGATTTCCCTGTGGTAGATTTCAATACTATAGTTAACAAATTGAGTAGGAGACTAGGAGGTCTACTTAAAACTTCAAACAAGATTGACTGTTATTTTTGTTTTGAAGATCCTTTGAATATGTCTTTGTTATCATGGCTATGTTATTTACAGAATTGGAACATCTTAACGATACATAGAAATCTCAAATGTTCATTGTATATGTACATATAAAAATTTACATTAAATTTGTCTTTTACATAAGTATGCACAAGTAAACAATGTTAAAGTAAAACAGACATTGATGAATAATTATCCTTTAACAGTTTTCTGGTATGCCTACTTCCCCCATCTACTCCCTGGACTGCTCTGCTGCGGGGTGTGGTAACATTACAGGAGAACCCATTCTTCTTAAAAAGGTCAAAGATAAGCATGAGCTAACAGCAAAGTTTGAAGTTACGGTATGTCTGGGAAATATTTTATTGTTACATTTATGAGACAACTGAATTTAGAAAATAATTTTTATTTGGCAGTACATGTGTACATTGCACATTATAGTTTGCAAAAAGATTAAATTTACTATAAATGTATATATCTATTTCTCAAAGAAGAATTTTAAACATTATATCTAAAAGCTCTTGCCTTTAGGAGATGATTTAGACCTGTATTTTTTCCAGAGTAAGAAGGACATACCTGCAGTAGAGCGGTCAGTCATTGTCACTCCCAGTAACTCGATTTCACACATTGAGATCAAACAGGAAGAGAACAAGCGACAGAGAATGCTGAAACAAGGAGAAAGCATTATGGGAATAGCAGGGGAGACCATCACAGGATTGAGTAAGATTGCTCTTAAATATGACAGTATATATTCAATGACAGCTGGTTGTTATTTCTGATTGCCACAAATTCTGATTTTGTGATTCAATGATGCAATTTTATCACTTTTTTAATTTTAAAAAAAGGTAATGAATCAAACTTTCTGCTCATCTTTGCAGCTTTCTTGTTATATGATGAGGCTGGAAGGGCTGTCACCATAGATGATAAAGTTTTCCCTAAGATTAAGGTTTGAAATATCCCAAACTCAAACATGTCTGAATATAACCTGCATCTGATTTGATACAGTTTTCTCTGCAAAAGAAAACTATATTCCATTCTTAAGTTTTAAGATTAAAGAATATATGTACAAGTGTATTAGTTTGATGATTCATTGAAAATATTAAGTTGTGTCATTTAGGTTTAAGCTGTGAATAGTGAAAGTGGGGATGAAAAGGCATAGACACATTGCAATTGAATCTAGTAGTGTACATTCTTCTTATTTTAAGGTAAACTGGACACCGAAATTAAACCAGGAGATGATCATGTCTGGGAACCTCCCCCCAGTCAAAGTCCCCTCCTCTGTCACAGACTTGAAATATTGCCAGGTGGCCATTCATGACAAATCTAATGTAGAATTCAGCTTCACTGTCAAGTAAGAATTTCTGTTAACTTCAGTTTTTGTAATACAGGTCATGATTAAGTTACTATAATTCTCTAGAGTTTTGTATCTTTAGAATGCATGCAGAATTGGCAACCAAATATATGAGTGAAAAAGTGTGTTTGCTTTCTGTTATAATGTTCATGTCCTAGTGATTATTAAGTAAAAGACAATATATTGAAATATGGAAAGGTGTAATTCTTTTTCATACATATACATGTAGATATTAAATATAATAATTCCTACATGCCTAGTTACATGTTTTTCAGTGCTCTGCCTGCTGAGCCAAACCAGATCAAATGTAAATGTCAGGGACCTGCAGTTGTACAGATTGGGGAGATGTTAAAACATGAAGTACAAATCACCGTTAAGGACAAGTTCGGAAATGAAATTACGGATGTAAGCATATGGGTCATATTAAGAATGTTCATCATTATAACTGAAATTTTACGTGTATTTTAATTTTGTAGGATTTTATCCATGAATTTATGGTAGCTAATGTAGTGGCATACATATACAAGTACATTTTACACGTAGTGTTTGATCCTATAACACTGTTTCAGCTTCCAAAGAACTCTGCACATGAATTCCAAGTGACAGGGGATGGCTTACAGGAACAACTAGTCAAAGTGACTTCTAATAAGGTAAAATGTCAGAAGTGCTAGAATTTAGTAGTCATTCATTCATTGTATTTCTTTTTAATCATTAAAGTTGCGAATACATTGTGAAAAGAAGAGCGCAAAGTTTTTAAAATGTCTTAATGCCCTCAAACTAATGGATCAGATGGGGTAACTGTTCTGGGATTGTCTGTACAAACTGGGTATTCCTTATTTTACCTGAGAACTTAATATGTTGAATTTACTCCTAAACATTAAATTTCCAGTGCATGACTTTGCAAGTGGACTCTACATCGAGAGTTTTTACATGTATTGAGACAAAGAACAAGAGGGAGTAATAAAAAGAACTTGCTTCAAAGGAAATCTCAGCTATTAAGAACTTTCTGCAAATCCTGTAGAAGTCTTTTTAACTCTTTTACTCATATGGATATACAGAATCTTAGTTATAAAGAAGCAAAATTTGAGGTCCCAGTGATTTCCTTATAACCAAGTTTAGGAATCTAAATTTTCAACTACATGTAGGCCAAAACTTTTGTTCTATGAGAAGGCAGCTTCATCCTTGGGTATTTGATGGGTAATGGCATGTTATGTGAAAGTTCAGGTGAAATTTACAGGAAAAAACTTGATTTATCTCTGTAGATAAATTTGATATTCTTCTTTATAGAATGGGTTTGCGATCAACAATGTGCAATTTGAGGGAGGGAAAATAGGCACAAAGGACCTGAAGGTGACCTGGCGGGATCTGAGGGACTTTGTCAGGATTGAGATGGTAGCTGGTCCTCCTGAGACACTTAGTTTACCAGGCTGGGACTGTGAGGAGGTAATAAGCTGTATTTATGAAATGATATTAAGAAAAGTTTGAAGAAATCATTTTCATGACTTTATATACTTTTTAAAGATGTTCACCAATGTTAGCTAAAAGAAATGTGGCAGTTTGGTGTTGCACTTTGAAGTTTTCAACCTAGAGTTGTTATAATGTAATATTTTTTATTACAGACCATCACAGTACTGAATGAGGGTAAACTCCCTAGGTCTTTAGTGGTTCAGCTCTGTGATCAGTTTGGAAATCCTTCCAAATTGGCAGATGTCAGAGTACAACTAACTAAAGATGGCAAAATAAAGGTAAGAAAAAAGGAACATGGTCAGTTAAATGAATCATGTGTAGAAAAAAATTTTAACAGGCACATGTATTAAGGAAGATATTCTCTTAATATCAATACCAAATTTTGTTTTGCTTTACTTGTAACATTTGAAAAAGTATTGTTCAACATGAACATCTTAATACTTTTAGCTGTATCCTCCACCAACTCCACTGAAAACCAATGCCCAGGGACAAGTGGACTTTGGTGTATTGACTGTAACAGGTCCAAGGTACAGTACTACAGCCAAAATAAGAGTAAAATTGTGACATTTGGAGAATGGATAGGACATGTACTAATTTCCTTTCCTTGATATAAATGAAGAAAATAATGGAACTTTCATTAGACATGATGTAAATGATTACTTGCAGTGTAAATGTTAATTATTTTATGTAAAATTATAAATTTCTTAGCATGAATAGAAATTTATATATGCAGTACGTGCCTGAACACCCTTGGTAATGCTTTCAATTTTATGTTTTCTGTATAGTATTTTCCTCCCTTGTAGAGGCACCTATGAACTCCAGCCAAAAGCATTCCATGGTAAAGCAGAACCTATTCTTGGTCCTAAGATTTCAGTTCAACTTCAGCCAAATCTGATGAAGCCCACTTCTCTGTCAGTAGAGTATGATAAGAAGGCAAACTTTGTGGTGGGAGAAAAACTACCAGGCAAGTTGTTTTCAAAATAAGCTCATTTGATTTTAATACATAACCAAACATTTGTTGCACTTTAGTTGGAGGTTATGTTTATTTAATTGAGACATTAGGCAGCTTGGTGAACATGTATTTATATTTGAACTATCTGTGAGGCAAACAGGCCTTGAAAAAATGTGTATTTTCTACAGTCCACAGTACCCTAACAGTTGTAATCAATTCATGTCTTTTGAAACCATGAACGTCAAGAAAAGTAACTTTGATACTGTTAAAAAATGTATATTGTTTTCACAGAGTTTACAGTGAAAGTTTTGACAGAGGATGATCAGCCCATGGCCAGTGCCAAAGTGTCCAGTCTGTCCCTCAAGCTATGGAAGATGGATGCCAATGTATCCAGTGGTCCACCATCACGAGTAAGTAATATTTGGAACAGGTCGAGGAAACTATTTTCTGTGATGTCAGAATAAATATACATGCTAAATGAGGGACCCAACGTGACTGGCAAACTGACCAATCAGCTAAATGAGTTGCATTATAGGTAACTACAAAAAATAACTAAGTAACTACGACAATATCCATATATGGTAGATTCCTCGACCTGTTGGAATGTGCATGTAAAATGATCAATATACATGTACATGTATAATTTTATGCTAATGGTATACATTTACATATTTAATGGAAATAAACTGAATTTCTCAGAATGTACCTTTTTAGGTCAACTGAGTCACTCAGGTGGCCTATTTCTATCTGTTTTTGTCCGTCGTCATGCGATGTGCGTCGTCCTTTAACATTTGAACATTTTCAGCTTCTTCTCTGAAACTGCTGAACCAATTTCAACCAATTTTGGTATATAGCATCTATGGGTAAAGGGGAACAAAAATTGTGAAGTTCATGGTCCCTGCCCCCCTGGGGCCTGAGGGGTGGGGCTAAAACTACCAAAATTAATGCAATCTTTAAAAATCTTCTTCTTTACTCCAGGACATCAAGCAGTCAAACTGTTGGCATGATTGTAGTAAGCATTAAGCCCTCTACCAAAATTGTGAAATTCATGGCTCCAGGGTCATGGGTTCTGGTGCTAGGGTGGGGCTATATGGATCATATATTGAAAGTGGATTATTTCTTTGAAAATCTTCTTCTCTGCTCCTGGGTATTAAACAAACTAACTTAATACATAGTTATGATGAGCATGGGTGATTCTTCCAGAATTGTGAATTTCATGGCCCCTGGGTCAGGGGTTCTGGTGTTAGGGCGGGGTTCTATTGATAATATAGTGAAAGTGGATTATTTCTTTGAAAATCTTCTTCTGTGCTCCTGGGTATTAAACTAACTTAGTACATAGTACATATTTATGATGAGCATGGGTGATTCTTCCAGAATTGTGAATTACATGATCCCTGGGTCAGGGGTTCTGGTGTTAGGGTGGGGCTCTAATGATTATATAGTGAAAATCCGTTAATTCTTTGAAAATCTTCTCTCTGCTCCTTGGTATTAAACAGACTAAGTACATAGTTATGATGAGCAAGAGTGCCACTTTCAAAAATGTGAAATTCATGGCCCCTTGGTCAGGGGTTCTGGTGTTAGGACAGGGCTCTATTGATAATATAGTGAAAATGCATTAATTCTTTGAAAATCTTCTCTGCTGCTGGGTATCATTTAAACAAATTAAGAGCATAATTATAATAAGCAAGGATGCCTCTTCCAAAATTGTGAATTTCATGGCCCCTGGGTCCGGGTGATGGTGTTAGCGCGGGGCTCTATTGATTATGTAGTGAAAATGCTTTAATTCTATTTAACAATCCTGACTGCACCTTAGTGTTGAGAAGGTACACAAGGTGCATAGTTATGATGATCAAGGGTGGCTCTTACAAAATTTTTTAGACTTGTGGTCCCAGGGTCAGGGGTTCTGGTGTTTCTCAAGGGGGGGGGGGGGGGGGGGGGGGTGCTCATTTATCCAGACGCTTTGGTTCCCAGTCAATTGTCCGGATATGTGAAGCGTCCGGATACCTGAATTGCCTTGATTTTAGTTATATGGCCTTTCATACCATTGGCAATAGTACAGCTAAAAATGCTGCTTTATATAATTAAGTTTTATTGTTTAAATACTTTAATATACATTAGTACTACTCAATACTTGTTTAAATAAAATAAAAAAAAGTCATTGGATGAAATGTTATTTATATAAAAACATTAATTATTTCTACTTCCCAGTGTCTTATAAATCAACTTCTCCCAGCCAAGAGTCTGTAGAGCTGGTAGAGAAAAAAAATCTTTCGATATCTCTTTTCTTATTTGATATGAACGCTCATCAATGTTAAATGTGAAAATAACTGCACGTGTATACGTACGCTATTTATAATCATCCCAAGCGAGATCATATTAACGATTTTTAAAAATGAAAGTGATTTTATAAATTTCACCAAATCACAATCCATGTTGTGCACAAAATACTGAGCATAAAAAGTACCCCCGATGCCATGTCTATAAATAGCAATACATAAAACCATGTTACGACTGTATTCTAACAGTAAAAGAAATATATTTGCCAACTACAAAAAAAATATGGACATAAATAAAAAGCATTTCCCTTAATTAATAGGTATCAAATACATGTTAGAGAAGCGAGAGTCTCTTGTGTACCCATCAGCCTATAATTAACCTTGCCGCAAGCCAGTGATAACAGGTCACAGGTGATCATTTTTTAAAACAAACGGCCAGGCCAGTGTTTACACAATAATTAACACCCAGATCTATAAATCTGAGTAGAGTTGACAGACCAATTAAAAAATTACCGTCCTGATAAATGAACCAAAATGTAACGTAAAAATTCATTTTGTGGTGAAAAAAGACCGTCCGGATACGGAACGCAGAATTCCGGTTAAACGAGACAAAATAACGTTAAAAAATTCCGTTCCCATGAAAAATCGTCCAGAAACTGAAGCGTCCGTATATCTGGCATCCGGATATCTGAGGGTCCACTGTATTGATAATATAGTGAAAATGTGTTACTTCTTTGAAAATCTTCAACTAAGTGTATAGTTATGATGATGAGGGTACCTCTTCAAATTTTAGAATTAATTTCATGACCCTTGGTCATGGATTCTGGTGTTAGGGTAGGGCTGTGTTGAATTTCTAGTGAAAAATGCATTTAATATTTCTTTGAAAATCTTCTCTGCTCCTGGGCATGTCAGAAGCAAACAGTTTAATAATTTTGATACGCAAGGGTATTTTTACCAGATTTTTTAGCGTCTGGACTATTTGGTCAAGAGTTCTGGTCCTAACCAAGGCTCTATTAAGTTATTTCCCTTTGCCATTCACTTTTGATAATGACTGTAAATAATGCATTTGAAAGGTTAATAGATTAAGTGAATTATGCAGGAATTTTTATTGTATAAAACAAAAAGAACTTCTATAGTTTTAATGATCAGATAGACTTGTATATAATAGATAAATAAAAATGAGACAAAAATAACTTATTAATTGTTCTTTAAGACCAAGAGAGGCCAATGTAAGAGGTTCTGATATGGGGTTAAAAATAGTACAGAAGCGCTAATAGTTTGTTAATAGTCTACATGGTGATTGTGATAAATTGGGGACAGATTAGAATGTAATTTATGAGTTGTTACTGAATACTATACTAATTTTTTTTTATCCTGATCATCCTATTTCTCTTGCTTTTGGGCAACAAAGCTTCATCTATCAGTTTATTTTATACTCTATGGATCCTTAAAATTGTTGCATTATACTCAGGTGACCGTTAAGGCCCTTGGGCCTCTTGTTTTAAAAAAATTATCTTGAGGTCCTGTAGATCACTACATTATCTTGACACCTTATTTTCCTACAACAGCTATTTAGTGTTATGAGTGAGACAAAATTTTTGCTACCTGTGGTTATTGTTGTGTAGAGTCCTAAACAATACAAATATAAACAAGAATAAAATTTTCACAAGCAGGCAGACTTGCATAGTTATGCGAAAATAAAAAGTGCTTTACAGTAGCAAATACTGTGTTTGTAAGAGTGTGGAATAAATTTTAACCAAATTTGACATGTTACAGAATCTTTTTACAGGCAGTGTCTTACAGCCCTGAGGCAGTGAAGGGAAGTCCTGGTGTGTTTCTCTTTAAGGAGAGAAAAACCCCTGAGAGTGCTGCTGTACACCAGATAATGATCACATATTATGATGGCCAGTATGAGCTGTTCAGCAATGTGGTAAGTGTTCAAGTGAGCTTTTCTGATCACCTGTTGTCTGTCGTCCATCTTTCCATCCATTTGTAAACTTTTCACATTTTTGACATCTTTCTGAAGAACCACTGGGCCAATTTAAACCAAAGTTGGTACAAAGCATCCCTGGGTAAAGGGGATTCTAAATTATAAAAATGAAGGGCCGGTCCCCTTTCTAAGGGGAGATAATCAAGAAAACGCAAAATAGTGTGGGGTCATTAAAAATCTGATGATGAAGAACCACTGGACCAGAAAAGCTGAAACTTATGTGGAAGCTTCCTGAGGTAGTGTAGACTGTAAATTCTTCATATCATGTCCCCTAGGGGTAGGGTGGGGCCACAATAGAAAATCAAAGTTTTACATTGAAATATATAGGAAATTCTTTAAAAATCTTCTCAGGAACCACTGGGCCAGAAGGACTGACACTTTTGTGAAAACCTCCTGAGGTAGTGTAGATTCTAAATTGCTCATATTATAGTAATCTTTGATTACAAGGGCATAAAAAAGATGTATTATGTTAAGAAATACTTTGTGTGAAAAGTATATATATCCTTTGCAAAGAAAGTAATGTTGAAATGAGAGCTCTCACTGACCCTAACTTTTGGGTAATTTGGACATGGTCAAGGTCACAGCTTTCAGAAGATGTAAATTTCTTGCCTTGGCCATGTTTCATTTCATAAATTTAGATGACAGTTCACATCAAACCAGCCCCTCCCATGCAGCTATTGCCGATAGACAACCCAGGAACTCCCACAGTGTCCAACACCAAGGCATCCACTGCCAGATGTGTGGTCCGTCAACTTAGACTAGAACTGAGGGTATGTCTACATACATGTACATGTTTTTTTGACATGAATTTCTCTTTATGGGCTTTTTAGCAATTGTGATTTTCTGTTGATTTTATTAATGAGTAATATAGTGGAAATGTAAAACAATTTTGTGAAGATGAATTATGTGTATACTAGAGAACAGCAAAAATGATACTTCAAAATCATTTCATGTTCGCTGGTTACAGGATCAGCATGGTAACCCATCTGGTACAGGATACAATGGGAAAGTGAAAGTAGAGATTTGTGGACCAGAGGATGCGACAGAGGTCCCATGCTTTGTTGGTGGCAGTAGAACACTTGAAATACCCCTTAACAATGGTGCATGTGCCCTCAATGTAAGATTTTCTCATCAGGGACTATTTCATAAAAGGTCGTATGACCAGTTGTAACTCTATGCCGGGGTAAATTCGGGACTAGCCCAAAGATTTGTGTTTCATTAAAAAGCGTAACTTTATGTCAGACTAAAGTTATGCCAAAATTCTAAGTCTTCTGATGGGTAGGCGTGAGTTCAGGCGTAATCATAAAATATCACGACTTTATTGATTTTGAGAATGATACAGTCATTCCTTATGAAGAATTACAATCTTAAGAGTCTTTTTTAGTACAAACCATGCATTATTTTATTTCACATGCTATGAAGATTGGTGGGGGGATGCAGTATTTCCATAACTTACTTTATTAAATTTTCTTCATAAAAGATTGCCTTATTAAGGTTTCATTCTACCACTATGTCTAAAGTTTTGACAATCCTGCATTCTTACACCTTTGTTTGTTGTATTTTGAGTAAGAGATATTGTAAATCAATTATATGAAAATGCTTTCAAGGGGAGCTTCTTTCAAGGGGAGAAAATCAAGAATTAGTGAAAAATTTGTGGCATCTTTTAAAAATCCTCTCAAGAACCTGTGGACCAGAAAAGTTGAAACATGTGTGAAACTCTTTACATATGTAGGTTAAAGTTTGTTCAAATTATAACCCCATGGGGGTAGGATGGGACCAGAATGGGGCATCAAGGTTTTAAATAAAAGTTTATAGGAAGAAATCTTTTAAAATCTTCTTCTTAAGAACAGCAACTATGATTAATCAAATTTATGGAAGTACATGTATCCTGGGGTGGTGTAGATTCAAAGTTTGTTCAAATCATGACTCTTGGGGTAGGGTGGGACAACATCTTTAAAAATCATCTTCATAAGAGCCATGATTAGTCATATGAATGTGGAAGCATCTTGAGATACTGTAGTTTAAATTCAAGTATCTTCAAATCATGACACCTGGGGTTAGGGTTGGATCACAACAGAAAATCCAAGTTTTACATAGGAATATAAAGGGGAAAAAATCTGCTGGTGAAGAATGGCAGGGATAAATTGGCTTAGGTGAGGGTTGTTGTCCATGGGCTTCTAATTTAAAGAAAGGAATTGTTTATGTGTGATGTGAATAAAAAATCTATTATTTTAGATCTTTTATTGATAAACCAAATTATTTGTTATACAGCTTGTAAAATGTTGATATACAAGTAGTTTATAATTGCTTTAACACATATTGACTATGGTAATAAAACATGGTGCTTCTGAAATAAAAAAAAAAAATTTCATGTACATCTCAGAATACTGTTGTAGAACCTGACCATACAAGAGAATGCACCAGGCCAGGATGGACAGGAGTATGTGCTTCGCTGTAGTGTTGTGTGTTCTCTTATTCCTAGGAATAAATCCATTCCACCACTGGAGATTCCTTTCCTGTTTTACAATGGTACTTGCATTTTACATTTTTTTACTGATTTTTTTAACTACCATCTAGATTTCTAAAGAGTTAATTTAAAACTGCAAAATTGATTTTTAATTTGAATGTATGTGATGCACTGAAGCTGAAGCTGCATGCATTGGTTTCTAATATTCATATTGATACCAAATTCAGAATGTGGTAAATTTTCTTGCATGTTTACTTAAATTTAGCTTTAAAGGGTATTTTCAATATTATCGTAGTCTAAACTTTGAAATTAATTCATACATATATATATATATATATATATATATATATATATATATATATATATATATATATATACACACACACACAGAGGTGACTCTCGATGGCTCGAACTCTGATCTCTCGAAGTGAACCCCCGGTCCCGTTTTTTCTTCTCTATATAACTAAGCAGATTTACTCCTGATCTCTCAAACTTCCGATCTCTCGAAGTTCTCTATCTCTCGAACCAAGACCTGGGTCCCGTTACACACATTTCGTTGTTTTTCACTCTCTATCTCTCAAAGTTTTGATTGTATATACACCAATCAAGCGTAAAATTAATGCAGCTTGGACTTTCCTGGATAACCGTGAATGCCTGGGGCTGGTATGGACGTGTTAATTGGGTGTTTACATAGACGACACCACACCTGTGAGTCATCCGAGTGTTGATATAATTAATTGGTTAATTGGTAAATTATAAACAAATCGCTTCACAACTTATTTTGACTTGACCAATTGACAGCGAGACGATAATTTTGAAAAAAATAATTTAGAAATGTGTCAATATTTTTCCATTGATAATGAACTTTTATTTAGAGTCTACACAATCCCAGTATGATAAACACTGTGCAAGAAATCCTTCCTCAAGTTTAATACCTATTACGAGCAATCTGGCGAAGGACCCGATCAAGCCAGGGGGATTACCACATTGACAATTGCTATTCAGGTTTCATTTAATCATGAAATGAGAACAAATAAATATTGAAACTTAAAGAAATCACTTTATTTATTCGATCGTTGCTGTTGAAATTAAGTGAATTACCTGTAAATATGAATTATCAACATATACTTCCAGTATCTATAATAGTAGAACAAAGTTGATCGGAACTGAAAACTCCGGATTTTATTCACTTTCTATTTCTCGAACCCTTCGATCTCTCGAACCTTTGTTACGGTCCCTTGGACTTCGAGAGATCGAGAGTCACCTGTATATATATAGAAAGCACAAAGAAATTCACTTTTATAAGCATACCCACTTCCGCCCCAGCCCCGGGGTTGAACTCTTGACCTACGGAACCTGTCTCCTAGCAGTACAGGAACAGTGCGCTAGACCGCTTGGCTATCTAGGCAAGTAAAAAAAAACTTGCTTTCGATGCCGATGGAATTCTCACGGCGCTGTGTCGTTTTCCTCAAAAGTGTTCTCTAATCTGCTTATACCTGTGTATCAACAATTTATCATTGTTTGCAGATGTTGATGTAAAAGTGAAATGTTGACGTTTCTTGATTTACGTATAGTTACTTTTGTGCACAGGCACTTGATGTGATTATTAGGTAGCAGGTTAGGGCTATATTTTTTGAGATAAGAAAAACTATATAACATCAAGTGTCTATGCTTTTGTGTACTTCTGATCTTGTTTATTTTCGCTTATTTGCCACTTGGTGACATGGATAGTTGTCCTTGTTTACTTTCAGATGTAAAGAAGCAGAGTCAGATGTCTCAGCTGTCCAAACAGAGAGATAACCTCCAGAAAGTGATCAACACCTACCGCTCACTATTTGACACAACAGATATGCTTACAAAGGAGCTACAAAGTCAGTTTTATACACAGACTTCTTAGTAAATGTCCCAGTGATTTTGAATTGTCAGTTGCTTTGGTAGATAGAAATTTTAAGACAGAAATATACTTTGAGGGATGGTATTACAATTATCGTAAATGTTCTTTGCTTCAAATGTGCTAATTGATAATTTCGCTAATCAGTTAGCGAGGAAAATTGTGCTAAATGTTGAGTGCACTAGTTTATATACAATATGTACAGCCTACTCCAATTATATTGAAATCATATTTTGAAATACAGTGGCTCCCGTTTTATCCAATAGTCAAGTTGTCAGTCTAATTTTATCAGAATAGCCGAATATTAGAATAGCCGAATGCTCCATACCGAGTCCAAAGATAGATGTATAGAGCTACATGTATTGATAATACATTGTAGCAAATTTCAAACTTGCACTTTTGTTTTCGTTTGATTAGTTCATTTAGTGACTTTCCTAAAATAAATTATTTCACTTACTTATTATTATCCGATTAAATGGAATCCACTGTACCGTTTCTTTTCAAGTAAAACTTAAGTCTCAGTTTCTCATTATCTTTGCAATAAAAATATCAGTTAAATTGAAATTGCTTATGTTGAATTATTGCTCATTTTGAACTAAATTCTTGGTCTGCTGACTGATAAGGAGTTGTTTTTATAACGATTATATTGAAGTCATTCTGGCCAGTAGATGTTAAGTGTCAGTGGATACATTTTCACATAAGTTTTCATTGCATGCCTTTATAATATGAAACTAATTAGTGAGGGGTATCCTTTTCTCTCAGATCACATATTGACGTGCTTTTAAACAGCCGTTTGAACACATGCTCATGAAAATGGGTAAATAACATGAGAGAATAACTTTGTCTTTAAATAATTAAAAGGAATTCGTGTCTGCCTAAGATAAAAATATGAAATCTAAATCCAGGTTAGCGAAGGTTTTTGGGATAAATGCCAGTACACACCAGCAATGACATATTAGTACATGTACAGTTTTTTGTTTTTGAAGCCCTTGAGTCCATGCGAATCTAGTGACTTTCCATTAACAAAGCAAGGTTGAAAAATGTTGGCCATTTTTGTCCAAATACATTTGTAAATCTTAAATAAACAAACTATTTCATTTCACTATTCTATTGGCATAAATTTAACGTGTAATTTTTATTAGCTCACCTGAGCTGAAAGCTCAAGTGAGCTTTTCTGATCACCCATTGTCCGTCGTCCATCCGTCTGTCCATCTGTCCGTCTGTCCGTCCGTCTGTAAACTTTTCACATTTTCAACTTCTTCTCAAGAACCAGTGGGCCAATTTTAACCAAACTTGGTACAAAGTATCCTTGGGTAAAGGGGAGTGTAAATTGTTAAAATAAAGGGCCAAGTCTCCTTACAAGGGGAGATAATCAAGAAAAGACAAAAATAGGGTGGGGTCATTAAAAAATCTTCTTCTCAAGAACCACTGGGCCAGAAAAGCTTAAACTTATATGGAAGCATCCTGGGATAGTGTAGATTCTAAATTGTTCAAATCATGATCCCCGGGGTAGGGCGGGGCCACAATAGGGAATCCAAGTTTTACATTGAAATACATAAGAAAAATCTTTAAAAATCTTCTTCTCAAGAACCACAGGGCCAGAAAAGCTGAAACTTATATGGAAGCATCCTGGGGTAGTGTAGATTATAAATTGTTCAAATTTTGACCCCCCGGGGGTAGGGCGGGGCCACAATAGGTATATTAATAGGGGGGAAATCTGGTAAAGAACAGCATGGCCTAAGTTACTCAGGTGAGCGATGTGGCCCATGGGCCTCTTGTGTTGATTAAGTTTTAGATTGGGATCAGATTTTAACGTCTCATTAGGCCAATTTCACTTATTTTCAACTTCGTTTATATTGAAAAAAACTTGTTGGTCCCTTGAATTTCAATATATTTAAAGCAGACTGTATGTCTAGTTGACAATATCCTCGTGTAGATATTTAATACTGATAAGAACTTTCAATTCTTTCAGTTTACTGGATAATTATGCAATGAAAAAAGTTTATTTTTTTCAAAAATGCCGATTTCAGCATCAGTCAGAGAAGCAATTCAAGAAGAAAACAAAATTAGAGAGGAGCTCCAGAAACTTAAAGTCAACCTGAGCCAGTCATTAACAGTATGTTTTCATTAAAATCAAGAGTTGATACTATGTAATGTCAAAAGTCAACCATCCAATATGTTTATTTCACATCTTTTCTTTTTCAGTTGGGAAATGTTGAAAAACAAATAGAGTCTAAAAAATTAGAGAAGGAAAAGCACTTACCAAGAAACAGACGGATGTGTGGTCTACCACAGCTACCTGGAAATCCAGACATTGTAGGAAAGGTCAATAGAATATCAATCTTTGTTTACAATTAGGGATGTCAACGAATATTCGAGTACTTGACTATTGTTCGATCATACCGACTATTGACTGAAATTTTTTTAGTTGGTTATTCTTTAAAAATTTGCTATTTAATAGTAATCTTAAATTCAAGGCAAAAAATGGGTCTGACTTCATTTATTAACGTATCAGTGTTCTCGTGACTTAAACTCTCTCCAAATCTTTACTTTCAAAACTACATGTATATAGAAGTTCAAGGGGAAGAATACAAAAAAGATGAAATTCACTCAAATATAAATTTACTTTAATTCACCAGCAAGCAAAATACTGTAAATGAAATTTTATTCATTGTTTATTTATGGGTATTTTTTTAGGTATTAATTTAATGAGAATATCATAAATGAAAATAAAGTTCTTGTCAGTGATTATCAGATAGACATTGAGTTATTGGGTTTAAATATAAATCTAATTATAATCGTTATTTTACCTATTCAGATTGGACATTTAGCTGAGATTGAAGACCCTGATATTGCCAGGGTGTTGTCATGGCACATGTCATCTGACATAGATTGTGTGGTCACCAAGACAACCAAAATGGTAATCAAAATATTTATTTAGTATCTGTATTCTGAAAGCTTAGCTTTAATACACATTCATGTATTTTTACATACTGATGATTCATATGTATTTTTTTGCATGATGCTTTGAGAGATTTTTTCCAGGCTAAGGATGTCTATAAGCAGACAAATGGAAAACAACAGGTCCTTCCTATTGACTCAATCTTCAAGAAAAGCTTACCAGACTGGAATAAGTATGAAAGCTGAAAGCTCAAGTGAGCTTCTCTGATCACCCATTGTTCATCTTCCATCTAGCTGTCTGTCTATCTGAAAACTTTTCACATTTTCAACTTCTTTTCAAGAACCATCAGCCAATTTTAACCAAAGTTGGTACAAAGCATCCTTGGGTGAAAGGAAATTCAAGTTTTAAAAATGAAGGGCTTCAAAGGGGAGATAATCAAGAAAAGACAAAAATAAGGTGGGGTCATTAAAAAATCTCAAGAAACATTCGGGTCGCCCGCGTGGCGCAGTGGTTAGAGCATTCGCTCAAGAGAAGCGGAGTAAGGAGTTTATCCTTACGTCGCGGGTTTGAATCCCACTGTGGGACTTGGAGACCGGTCCTTCCGATGCGACCGTATAAACCGAGGTCTGGTGTCGCAGTAGGTGCGGGCACGAAAAAGATCCCTCACTGCTCAATGGCCCTGAGTGCCGAGTATAGGTCAAAATTTGCAGCTCTCCACTGGCAAGTGGTGGCATCTCCATATGAGTGAAAAATTCTCGAAAGGGACATTAAACAATAAACAAACAAACAAACAAGAAACATTCGGCCAGAAAAGCTGAACTTATCAATATGTAGTAGGGGTGGGACGATACACAGATCTTGTGATACGATACATATCTCGATATTATAACACGATACAATACGTATCTCGATATTATGATAAATTATAAAACTATTGAAATAATTATTTTTATTTCATTTTATACGTCCGTCTTTAGACGGGACGTATTATGTTATGGCGTTCATGTCCGTCCGTCTGTCTGTCTGTTAGCTTTTCTTGTGTCCGGCTCATAACTTTAATACTATTAGGCCTAGGTTTATCAAACTTTGTCTGCTGATACTTCTTGGGTAGAAGGTGTGTCGCGCACTAAAAGTAGGTCGTTCTGACCTTTCATTAAGATGCTATGGCCAAATGTGGAAAAATCCTGTCCGGCTCATAACTAGAAAACTATTAGACTTAGAATCATCCAACTTGGCCAGTTTATGCATCTTAGGTAGAAGGTGTGTCGCGACCTATTTCAAGGTCACTGTGACCTTTAATTTAAGTGAAATTTTAAAAAAAACTGTCTTTTTACTATTAAATTACACCATCCCAAAAAATGTAAAAGTGTTGCAGTATCCTTATTAAAAAATTGTTAAAATCAAGAAATACATATTTTTTTCATGATATACTTTACAGCAATCTATAACAAGTATAATGTTACAAGAGAAATTCCACCTCTCCCATGGGTGTAATTATCAAGCACTGGTCAAGGAGAATTTTGATAACAGAAAATTGCATGTCAAATTAGAGAGAAATTAATGAGTTTAGTGTTAGGAGCTAACTGGTAGAGCATCTCTGATCAAGCAGGTGTTATCTATATCTCTTGGGAATTGGGCAGAGGAATCAGCCATGTTGGATTAAATAGTTTTTGTGGGCTAGCCTAACTTTTAAAATGAATTTGGTGAAAAGTAATTAAAACTAATTTGATATTGTATAATAAACTAATTTGATATCGTATAATAAACTAATTAATTAAAACTAATTATACTTGGGGGGGGGGGGGGGGCATGATATTGGAATTAGCATGCCCGTTGTCCATATGAATTGCAGCTTAAAACCAGTCTGACATTAAATCTAAAAAAAAAAAAACAAGTATTTAAAAAAAAGTCTTAATTATGGTAGATAGTCCCTACAAATCTAATGTTGCATCAATATTACAATTTTTTTTCTTTTTATAAATCTTTGTAACAAATTGAAAAAAAATTGTTTTCAAATTTAATTTCAAAATGACATAAATATGCATTTTAATTGCACTACAAAGCAGATAGTGCAGATCCATTCATCCCTTGGGAGTAATGAGTGGACATGCATCCAGTTAAAGATTAATTAATGAGTTCAGTGTAGGAAGGCTAGCTGTCTCAATCATTTCTGTTAGAGCATCTCTGATCAAGCAGTTCTTATCTGTATCCTTTGGGAATTAGACGGCCGATGATATATACACGACCGTTGTGCGCATAGAAAAGAAAGTCTATTTACACGACGGTCGTGCGAATAGCTATTGCAAATTGCTGAGATATATACACGACCGTCGTGCACATAGGTAAGAAAAAAAATCTATTTACACGACGGTCGTGCAAATAGCAATGGCACATTGCCAGAGATATGCACACGACGGTAATAGCTATTATGCATATATTACACGACCGACCTGTGCTCGAAGACACGGGACGTTGTTTGTAAATAGAATTTGACCCCAACTCCAGTATGAACATTCATGTCAAAATTTTTTGACATTTAAATGCTATTATTAAATGAATGTTCTTATGAACGGACAATTCTTTTCTTTTACACACATTAAATTAGGAAGAATTTGGTAAAACAGAGACATATATAATAATAATATTATATGTCTCTGGGTAAAATAAAAATAAAAACTAGATCCGATCTCGATCAGATTTGTGTGGGCTAAACTTTGACATTGTGAGGATGAGATGAGCCTGTCTCTGGCTTTATGTGCACATGTACGTTTAATCTTTCTTTTTTTTCATTTACAGTTTTTTTTAAATAGAAATGCAAGCAATTGATTGTTTCACACTATAGTAAATAGTACTTTTATGTTGATATTTAATTACCTCAACTTTTTTTCAATTTTATCTCATGTTAAAAAAAAATGTAAAACATATGGGGGATTGACACCTGTATAAGATCTATACTCCAACTTCAGATTTAAAAAAAAAAAAAAAAAAGAAAAACTTTTGTAGGCAATCCCCTATCTGAATTGTAAAATACATATTAAGTTTAGAAACAGGATGGGGACATAAATACCACACTGTATTAGTTTTAGTCTGGCTATAGACTGGGACACATGATCATGCCCCCTTTATGGTTCTCTCTCACATCTTTAAGTCTTTCTATTTCTATTCTTTTCATACTTAAAGTTTACAGACTACTTCATTTACATATTTCTATTTGAAACTGAATTAAATATTATGGCCCACAACCATTTCCTTTCACATCCCTTTCTTTTTACGGTACAGCTTCTTTTGTGGATAATTTTGATTATTTTACATACATGTATAAAATATATGGACGCACCAGCTAGAGGATGGGTATATTATGAGCTATTCAAGTGTGCTGAAGAATACAACCAAATCGTAATATAATTTCTATCAGTTCCATAAAAATGTAGATGAAGCAGTATGATAGAAAAAGAAAACAAATCTATATTAAAAAAATAATAATAATGAAGATTAGAAACAAAAATAAAATTGGAAAGGGGGTTGATCACTCAACATCCGTTCTAAAAGAGAAGATGTGCAGATCACCAGGGGTAGACACTAACTTTCACACTTGGCTAGCGATGATAGGAGTGGGGGGGGGGGGGGGGGGGAAGGGAGGTTAAAAGTTACATTACTGGGTTATACTCTCCTGTATACCCTTTTCGGCCCTCAACCACACAGTGCACTCACACATGTTATATTCTGGATCTGCCATGGAATTTCGATGATATATTGATGACATAAAAAAATTGAACGTGAGCAGTACTTTCAACCAATGTAATATCATTTGCGGACGAGTGTTATATTTTCATAGTTGCAAATATGTCATATAACCGTCATTTTACATGTTCAAATTACTCTAATTTTGGGACTAAAGATTTAGAAACTCAATAAAAATAAAACAAGCAGTTATGCAAAATTTAATGAGATAGTTTAGAACTGTCTTTTCCAGAGAAACTTTCAAAGTGTAACGTGTATATTATGACTCTCTGAAACTATGTTTATTATAAAAATATTAAAGAAAACGTATAAAAAAAATATACATGAAAGAAAAAAAAATTAAAAGAGTACAACTGGAAAAAATCTTGAGGTCGAACTCGAATCACCACATTTACATTTCTGAATCAGCAGTTGTGTACCACTGCGCCACGAAATCATTGATAATGAATGATAAATTTAAGACAGATTGCCAAATCTTAAAATAATATTAGAAGAAAAATGAATATATATAAATGTTAACCTTAACCAAAATAAAGTGCCGTCATACACAAAATTATTCAAATGTTGTTTTACTGGTTAGGAGTGGTCTTTGTCAACAGTTTGTCGTCGTTTAGGAGATATACCTCAGTATTTACTACATACTCCATACAAACTTGATGATTTTTAGAATTTTTATATAAGGGAACTACAATATGTATTAACATATGAATATCATTATTGTTTAATTTGAGATTACACGTGTGTAATAAATAAGGTTGTATGACAAAATTTTGGTTAAAAAGTGTATTTAAGAAATCACTACTAGAGTAGGCAAAATTATGCTTATCCGATGTTCTATGACTCTTTTTAATTTGATGTGCTTTTCCAGGAACATCAAATATCAAAATCGCTAAAAAAAAAAAAAGAGAAAAAAAAAGCCTGGAAAACGTCAGATATTTCGGACTAGGCTGAGGTGGAGGGGGGTAAACCGCAAGCCTAACAAAATAGTAGGTAAACGTTTTGTTATACTTATAGTGACGTGTATATTATACAAATACAAGGGTAGTTCTAATAGAAACAGATTTACATTACACCGACCTATATGTCACTTTAGCATATAAATTAACATTATGAAAAAGTTTTTCTGATGTTTTCTTACTAAAATGCTTCTAGGCTTGAATCAGTTAAACCACTGCGTGCCGAACTTAACTGGGGACGAAACAACGAATGACATAATAAGTTGGTGTTATATAAAAGACAAGCTTATCTTTTAAAAAAAGATTGGTGAGCTAGCGCTGTAGCATAATAAAATACAGAAGAAGATATCCAAACCATTTGTTAAGTTTGCTGAATCGATTAATTATTAATTAAGGAAGGCAGATTGGTGCACTGAGGGTTGAGTTTGTGTGGGGGGGGGGGGGGGGTCACAATTCAGAATGGTGAATCAAAGAGTGTGCTTCACGTCGGCAAAAAGCATAACTCCTAACTGTGCTTTAAGCATTCTGTATTTTACTGTAATTTCAATTTCGAGGTGAAAAGATCAGTAGAACCAATGAGCACCTTCGGGCCTTTCCGGCAAGCTCGGAAAACATATCCGAGGTTGCTGCGGTTTTCCGAGCTTGCCGGAAAGATCCATGAAGGTAGATTAGAAAAGCTATGTATTCATTACAACTTTAGAAATAACAGTCTTGGTTTTATAAGACCCGAGTTACTGTTACTTTTTGTTCATTTACGTGCAGGTTAGACTTTAGAACACGAAACTTCAGATCATATGTATTTTCAGATAATAAACACTAAATTGCCATGTCTTTCCGACATACTCTGAAAAAGATTTTTTATTGTTGTTGTTGTTTTTTCCGAGCTTGCCGGATTTATCCACTAAGGTGGTAAAACTGTAAGGAAAGCTAGATGTCTAGAATCTTGGCATTATATGGCAAAATTTTTTCTTATACTTTTATGTGTAGGTTAGACAATAAATTTTAAAAAATTCAGAATCCAGATCTAGACTGGAATTGACTGTTTCTAATATACGAAATGTATATCGCGCATATCAGACAGGAAAGGCCAGTGTAAATTTGGATCATTTCTATTTTTGTATGACAAAACAAAATTGTTATCGTACAGTCTATCTACAGTAGTTTTCCCAGAATCCCCGACCGTGAAGTCGAGCATGCGTATTTCAGAAATATAGACTAACATAGTTGCTAGCGCTCGAGAGCGCTAGCAATAATGGTCGTGCGAATAGCTGATTAATAAATACTAGACACGACGGTTGTGCAAATAGTCAATGAAAAATTATATACACGACGGTCGTGCAAATAGTCATTGGAAAATTATATACACGACGGTCGTGCGAATAGCCGATGAAAAAGTAAGTGCACGACGGTCGTGCATATAGACACTGCCGAATTAGACAGAAGAACTGCTGGTCAGTTTATAGCATATGCATGTCATTTGATGGCCAGTCTTTTATTATACCCCCCGCAAACGAAGTTTAGGGGGGGTATATTGGAATCACCATGTCCGTCCGTCTGTCCGTCTGTCTGTAGACAAAATTTTGTCCTGAGCGTTTCTCAGATACTATTGCATAGATTTGTCTGAAAATTTGTACACTTATTATTCACCATATGAAGGTGTGCACCTGGTATTTTCATCGTGATTGAATAATTTTTCTGCATTTTACAGGCGTTTTTTTTTTTCATTTTTATTATGTGGTTTTGTCCTGACCTTTACTCAAAGACTATTTCATAGAATTGTATGAAAATTTGTACACTCATTATTTACCATATGAAGATGTGCACCTGGTATTTTCAAAATTATTTGATAATTTTTCTGCATTTTACAGATTTTTTTTTTTTCATTTTGATTGACTTAGTCATTTTGGGTTTATTTCTAAGGTTTGAGACACAGAATCTAGAACATCTGTACAAAAATGTGAACTACAGCTTAAAACTATTCATTAAAACAAAAACAAAAAAAAATCACCAAGTATTAAAAACAATTTTTACATTACACAGCAGATAGTGTAAATCCATTTGTCCCTTGGGACTAATGAGTGGACATCATCCAGTTAGAGATAAATTAATGAGTTCAGTGTGGGAAGTTGTTAGGGCATCTCTGCAAGCGTGTGTTATCTATATCTCCTGGGAATTTAAAGATCTCTGTTCTTTAATTCTCTTCATTGTAATTTATTGTCTGTCATATACTGGATGACCAGCCTTTCATTTTTAAAATGAATTTGATATAAAGTTATCAAGATTAATTTGATTTTGTAATTAATTGATTTTTTTTTTCAACAATCAATGCAGAATATCATGTCTAAAAAAGATGACAGATAGTTGCAATTTATTTTTTCAATGTATTAAAAAACAATGTAACTACAATGTATTCGTATTGATGTTTTATTAGGTTGTTCCTTGGTTTCATTCATTAAAAAAAATATAATAGCAATTATTTTTTCACTCTAAATGTAAATAAGAAAACACTTCTTAGATCCATAAAATATTAGTGATTTGGCACCTCTGAAAAACCCAGCGGGGGGTATTTGTCCGTTTTGGACAGTTCTAGTTTTTAATTTAAATTGGTATAGATTAAGTTGTTAAGACTAAATTGATATTGTAACAGTTTAATATGATATTTTTATTTAATTTTTTGAAAATATCATCTAGCAAATTTCAGAGCATCATGTCTCACAAATATGAAAGATGGGGGGGGGGGGGGGGGGGGGGGGGCATTTGTCAAGCTCTAACACTACCAGTTGAGGATCTATAATGTAATATTTGTTATAATGCCTACACCACAGGAAATGTATAAACAAAATTTATAAGAAATGGAAAAATCTTGGAAATCCTTGTATCAAGGTTGACTTGATTTTCTTGCACTCTAAACTGTTCGTGATAATTGAACAATATTTGACGGGCGTATCATGCTGTGGCAGGGCACTTTATTTTATCTTGACAATATATCAACAAATTAATCTATATCAAATAATATGTGTTTTTAAATTAATACTTGAAGTTCATCTATTTCATTGACTAAAAATTTACAAAAACAATATTACATGTACTTATTGCCAAATGTCTCTAAACAAGTCGTTTACAAATAGTTGTGTAGTTCATCAAGAACACTGACTGAAAAATCATTTTGAAAAAAAGTCACATGTACATTATTATTAATTGCCAAAAGGCCTGCTACCAATTTGAGTTTAATACAAAAAAAAAATAATCCACAATTTGTTTCAAAATTTCAAATTCTTGAAATTAGAGAATCCAGGCTTTGTTACGAGCTGTTAGTGCTAGATGGACTAACAAAGTTAAATATTAATATCAACTGTTGTGGAAACGATACTTTCTGTATATAACACGCTTTACGTACTGAATGTTTCTTGTCCCATCTTCCGAGGATGCTTAAAAGTGAAAATGTTTTACCCCTTATCTACGACTTATTAGTTCTAAAGCGTGTTTTCAATCTCAATATCATCTTTTCGCTTCGTACAAGCCGCCATTTTCCTAGTACAACTACTTTCATTTTCAATTTTTTGATAGGTCGTTTGTGTATCGTTTCGTACCGATATTTGAGTGCATGTATCGTAAACCGTATCTTAGCAGAAAATATCGGTGTATCGGTATATCGTCTCACCCCTAATATGTAGAATCTTCTTGAGGTAGTGTAGATTTTAAATTGTTCACATCATGGCCCCAGGGGGTAGGATGCTGCCATGATAGGGGAATTAAAAGTTTTTCATTGAAATATATATAAAAAAATCTTCTCAAGAACCACTGGGTCAGATAAGATGAAACTTAGGTGAAAGTTTCCTGAGGTAGTGTAGATTGAAAATTTTTTCATATTATGGACCCTGGGGGTAGGGTGGGGCTACAGTAGGGAATCAAAATTTAACATAGGATTGTATATAAAAAAAAAATTAAAATTATCTCAAGCACAGCAAAGCCATAATTAGGCAAAAAAAAAAAATAGTTTCTCAGGCACCGCCGCATCAGGTCAAACACGGCCACATTGATCATTTTTATTAACATATTGAAAAGGGAGATCAACTCAATTTTCTATTTTTACAAAGTGAACAAGAAAATTGGGTTATTCCCCTTTTCACTGAGAAACTATTAATTAATCCTTTATGGCCTTAGTCATATTAATATGGAAGCAACTTCAGGTAGCGTAGTTTCAAATTTGTTCAAATAATGACCCCCTCCCTTCCCAGGCATAGTGTGGGGCCACAGTAGCCAAAGTTTAAATAGAATTTTATAAAATCCTCCTCTCTTGAACACTAAAGTCATGATGAATCATATTTTAAATGTAGAATCATCCTCAGGTAGTGTAGATTCAAGTTTGTTGAAATCTTGAACCCAAGGGATAGGGTAGGGCCACAATAGATGATCATAGATTTACATATCTGCAATTTATAGGAAATGATTTTAAAAACGTTCTTCCCTGAAGATCAGCAAAGCAATGATTAGTCATTTTTATACTGAAGCATCCTCTGGTAGTGTAGTTTCAATTTTATTCAAATCATGGCCCCTGTGTATAGGATGGGGCCACAAAAGGGAAATCAAATTTTACATGGGACTACACTTGTATATTGGGGGGGGGGGGGGGGATCTGATGAAGAAGTGACTCAGGTGAGCATTGTGGCCCATGGGCCTCTTTTTGTTTAGTATGGATGAATCTGACTGAATTAAATTGTCATAAAATCTAAGGACAATATCACATGAATTATGTCATCAGTGACCCATTCCAGTTCATTTTATTTGATGTGATACTCATACACTCTTCATATTTTCAACTTCTTCTTCAGAAGCAGTGGGCAAGTTTCAACCAACTTTACCACAAAGCATTCTTGAGTAAAGGGGATTCAATTTCTTTAAACGAATGGCCAGTTAGGCCCATGAACCTCTTGTTTCAGTATTCTTGTATTTAGATGTACTTTTTTCACCACTTTCTTTTTAAACTGCATTTCTTTTACAGACCTCTTCCTCACATTCGATACAGATCAGGCTGGAAACCTCCTGGTAACCCATCTTATGCCAGAGGTTTTCTAGAGTTCCCTCAGCATAAAGAGGAATGTCAAATTGGTATATCTATATGTACATGTAGCTTGTTCAATTATTTTACAAGTTGACAATTTAACAGATTATCTGTCTTTTGATTTCTTTCAATGTTGACTGTATTGTACATGTACAGTGTATGATAACTGTCAAGCCAAAACCACTGTTATGTGCATTGTGATGTTAAGGAGAAAACGAGTGCAAAATTTGGCATCATTGTAATGAGCATTGAGTCCTCTACCAAAATTGTGAAATTCATGGCCCCAGGGTCAAGGGTTCTGGTGCTAGGGCGGGGCTATATAGATCATATAGTGAAAGTGCATAATTTCTTTGAAAATCTTCTTCTCTGCTCCTGGGTATTAAATAAACTAACTAAGTATATAGTTATGATGAGTAAGAGTGCCTCTTCCAAAATTGTGAAATTCATGACCCCAGGGTCTGGGATTCTGGTGTTAGGGCGGGGCTCTATTGATTATATAGTGAAAATGCATTAATTCTTTGAAAATCTTCTTCTCTGCTCCTGGGTATTAATTAAAAAACTAACTAAGTATATAGTTATGATGAGTAAGAGTGCCTCTTCCAAAATTGTGAAATTCATGGCCCCAGGGGCAGGGGTTCTGGTGTAAGGGCGGGGCTTTATTGATTATGTAGTGAAAATGCATTAATTCATTGAAAATCTTCTTCTCTGCTCCTGGGTATTAAATTCAGTAACTAAGTACATAGTTAGGGTTAACAAGAATGCCTCTTCCAAAATTGTGAATTTCATGGCCCCTGGGTCAGGGGTTCTGGTGTTAGGGCGGGGCTCTATTGATTATGTAGTGAAAATGCATTAATTCTTTGAAAAATTTCTTCTTCTCTGCTCTTGGGTATTAAATTCAGTAACTAAGTACATAGTTATGATGAGCAAGAGTGCCCCTTTCAAAATTGTGAATTTCATGGCCCCAGGGGCAGGGGTTCTGGTGTTAGGGCGGGGCTCTATTGATTATATAGTGAAAATGCATTAATTCATTGAAAATCTCCTCCTCTGCAAACTAAGTACATAGTTATGATGAGCAAGAGTGCCTCTTCCAAAATTGTGAATTTCATGGCCCCTGGGTCAGGGGTTCTGGTGTTAGGGTGGGGCTCTATTGATTATATAGTGAAAATGCATTAATTCTTTGAAAATCTTCTTCTCTACTCCTGTGTATTATTGAAACACATTAAATACATAGTTATGATAGGATGCCTCTTCCAAAATTGTAAAATTCATGGCCCCTGGATCAGGGGTTCTGGTGTTAGGGCGGGGCTGTATTGATTATAAAGTGAAAATGTTTTAATTCTTTAAAAATCTTTTTCTCTGCACCTGGGTATTATTTAAACAAACTAAGTACATTGTTATGATAAGCAAGGATGTCTCTTCCAAAATTGGGAAATTCATGGCCCTGGGGACAGGAGTTCTGGTGCAAGGGCAGGGCTATATAGATCCTATAGTCAAGGTGAATTATTTCTTTGAAAATCTTCTTCTCTGCCCCTGGGTATTGTTTAAACAGACTAAGTACATTGTTATTATATGCAAGGATGCCTCTTCCAAAATTTTATGACCCCAGGTTTAAGGGTTCTGGTGAGGGGAGGGGGGGGGGGGCTTCTATAATTGATTATAAAGTGAAAAGCAAAATTTCTTTGAAAATATTCTTTTCTGCTTCTGGTTAGAAAAGCAAAGAAGCTAAGTGTATAGTTATGATGAGCAAGAGTGCTTCTTTCAGAGTAGTGAATTTCATGACCCCTGGGTCAGATGTGCTGGTGTGAGAGTGGGGCTCTTGTTAATATAGTGAAAATGCATTAATTCTATTAAATAATCCTGTTTGCTCCTTAGTGTTAAGCAGATAAACAAAGTGATTAGTAATGATGAGCAAACTTATGGTCCCAGGGTCAGAAGGTCTGGTGTTTCGGGGGGGGGGGGGGGGGGGGGGGCTCTATTGATAATATAGTGAATCTGTAGTTAAAATGCATTATTTCTTTAAAAATCTTCTCCGCACCTGGGCATATCTGAGGTAAATAGAGTAAAAATTTTTATAAGGAAGGGAATTTTTACCAGATTTTTGAACATCCGGACCATTTGCTCAAGTGTTCTGGTCCTGGCCAGGGCTCTATTAGTTTGTATTCTACTGAGAGGAGTTATTCCCCTTTGCCATTTACTTTTGATAATTTATCACTGTAAATAATGTACTTGAAAGGTAAATAGAATAAGAGAATTATGCAAAAACTTTTATTGTATAATACAAAAAGTACTTTCATTGTTTTAATGATCAGATAGACTTGTAAGTAGTAGATAAATAAAAATGAGACAAAAATAACTTGTCTTATTAAATGTTCATTAAAGACCAAGAGAGGCCAATGTAAGTGATTTCAACAAGGGATTAAAATAGTAGAAGAAGCATTGATAATTTGTTAATAGATTTATTAATATACTGTATGGTGATAGTGATAAATGGGGAACAGATTAGAACCTAATTTATGAACTGTTAATGAATATTAAGACCAATTATTTTGTTGATCATGATCACCCTATTTTTTTTTCTTTTGGGCAACAAAGCTTCACCTTTCAGTTCATATTATGCATCTATGCATCCTTTAAATTATTGTATTATACTCAGGTGACCGTTAAGGCCCTTGGGCCTCTTGTTATAACACAACCATGGAAGTGTGAGAACAAAACAAATGATGTCTTCCAAAAAAAACACAGCGTCATGACATACAATTTGTGTTTTTTTTATTTCTATAAACAATGTCGTATTATTTTAAATAGGAAAAAATTTCTATCGAGATCACTTAATACCTAAAAATGTGAAATTATTTACTGATGGGTGGGTTTTGCTTGACAGTCATCATATACAGTGAACCTGTAGTTCTGTTGTTTTTTTTTTTTAGTGTTTGGGATGTTGTTGGGAGATACCCTAATTCTGGATGATCTGAATTCTGCCAATGCTTATCGACAGGAGGTAAATAGTACACTTTTGAATTGAGTATAAGATTTGTCATTGTTCATGCATTTGTTCTTTTCTATCTTGTTTAAATCATGACCATAAATTTAAGTAAAACCTTTCCTATGTAGTGTGTGTTGTTAATTATCTCTTCAAAACAATAGACATAAAATCTTATATCATAAATGGTTTATGAACATAAATAAAAATGCTTCTTTTTTTTAACAGATTGTGAAATTTACACATTGTCCCACAATTCTCACCAGAGAGGGGGATCGAATAAGGAGCAATGGCAAGTTTGGGGGTTTGATGAATAAGGCAGTGCCTTTTGAGAAACTGAAGGGGGCAGTGTTTGGGGAGCCGCTTTCCCGTCAGTATAAAGAGGCGGACACAATTCTTGGTAAGTTCACAGACACTGCAGTAACGAGACACTTGTGGTATTCTTTATGCTGGGATTTTATGAAGGGACAGAAAAATTGTAACTGTGATTTCTTCAGTTAGTGGTTTTAAGAAAAAGGATTTTTTTTAAAAAAAACTTGATTGCAGTTTCTTTTTATCAGTGATTTATTGGTAGAATTTGTGATTTTCTAGACTAGAGCTTTAAGGTTTCAGAAAGTAACTGGGGGGGGGGGGGGGAATAAAACCTCATTTACATACATGTAGCATGGATCACTTTATTTCTGTATACCAGTGAAATAGAAGAAAATGGCTCTTAGAAAGATTTTTAATCATTTTAACATCCAGAAAATCTTCAGAGACTTAAAGTTGCAATGCAAAAGACAGAAAAAGCCAAAGACGAACTGAAAGAACAGTCTAGTTACATAGAGCTACCAGAGATGAAGAACAAGAAGAAGGAGTGTCAAGAGGCAGAGAAACAGCTGAGGGAAATCGAACAGAAATTAGGTAATTATCATAACAGAAGTTTTACAAGAATCTTGGCTATTGAATAGGAAATGGGAAAGATATTTTTTACATACATGTAGAATTGTTTGAAACTTGTTTATTCTTTTCTCCATCACCATGGATAAATTTTATTTTACATGTATTTTCATTCTGATGGATGAGTGACTTTCACTGGTCCCTCCATAAAAACTATTCCTGATTCTGACTTGTCAGAGAGGATAATAAATTGGAGTCTGATTGATACTGCTAAAATCCCAATTTATATATAAAGTGCCATTATGCTAAAAAAAATATTAATTAATAGATTCTCAGGCCGAAAATTTCAAAATTCAATGCAGCAGGCACTATTTTCTTTTTGAAGCAGGTGTATCTTTTTTTCATGTCAATCATTCAACAAAATGATATCAACTAATTCTTACTTTTTTTTGTTCTCTTACATTAATTTTAATAGGTATTAAACTTTAAATGATGTTATTCCAAACATTTGTTTAAAAGTCAATGTATAAAATACCGTATTAACAAGGAATATATTGTTTATCTTATAAAAACGTCTATCAATTAGCATTTATGAAATGGGGAATAACTCAATTTTCTTTTTCAAAAATAGAAAATTGAGTTATTTTCCTTTTCAGTTTGTCAATAGAATTGATCAATGCGGTAGTTTTTGACTTGATGCGGCGGCGGTGCATAAGAAACTATTGATTAAATTTTTTTGACCTAATACTATAGTTGTATAAAAGTAAAATTAGAGATCAGTAGGTTTGGTTTTCAAAGGTTTAGAGTTGTAGGAAGCAATAGGAATAAAGAGTACAGATTTTGGTATGAGAAATACACACACATAAAAATATATATATATATATATATATATATATATATATATATTGATTGTCTTCATGAACTCTCATTAATTCTCATGGACAGAAACATCTGATTTCATGGCACCACTTTTTTTTTTTGATTAGTATCATCATATGAAAGTTCAATTGAACAAGTGATGTACACTTACATCTCCTGGGTAGAGAAAGATATGGATTGTTGCTTATAGTTTTATATACATGTACTTTATAAGTCAGTTATTGCTAAATATTTTATTGAGGTCATCAGATTCATGGAATGTTTGTTTTCTTCAGGTATGACATCCACACCTTCGAGATCGCGCACCCCACAAGTCACCACACCTGTGCCAGAGGCTGCCACGCCCAGTAAACGGTCCCGCCTCTCCAATCGTTTCCCTGTCAATGGGACAGAGACTGTCCCCACCCCTAGTCCTCAGTTCACCCCCACCAGACAAAGTAAAAGACTAGCCTCCATTACCCCCACATCAGAGGACAATAGAAAAAAGCTACGAAGAACGTGAACATTGCAAAGTGTATAAATGGGACGGTGTTTTTATTAATCATGAATGACATTTGTAAAGGGCATTCGATCATACATGATAGAGGAATTTACAAAATGGCAGCTGGAAATCATATGAATGATGATTTACATTTTATTTTTAAAAAAAAAAGTGTAGAACCATTACTGACTGTAGGAAAAGTACTAATAACTTGGTACTGTACTGGTCAGGGCTGTATATCGTAGTTGGTGTTTGGGAATGGTGTAAATCATTTTAAGTAGATTAGTGAAGATTACAGAACAGATGTTTTATCACCATGGAGGTTCATTTCCAGATGTAGATGTATTTCTCAGTATTATTGTACAAAGTATGAGGTTTTAATTACTGCTGTAATGTTAAAAACTTAATCTTCTTCATATAACATGTATTTGAATTGATAGTCCTCAATTTCAATTTGTTTTCTTTCCATTTGCAACCAATCCTACAAAATGGGCTGAATCAAAATATTACATTGCTTTTTCAATGAACAAATAGTTTTTCTAATAAGAAATTGCTAATTAAAGATGAATACATGCACTATTTTTTATGAATAAATTTTATACACAGAAAAACAAGTTTATTTCCATACCTTCTTGACCAAACGGTAGAAATGGTGAAATACAGACAAAACAGAAAACACTTTCATTTTGGTCCTATATATCAGATTAAAACAAAAATGTTTTAAAACTCTTAATATTAGTATTGTTATGTAATATTTCTAAAAAGTTCATAATTATTTACATGTATCAATGATTGTGTACTATATTTTGTAGAATTTGCTCAAATCCTTAATGTAAGCCTTCTTGTGAGAAGCTAAAAAGAGATAAAACATGGAAATAATTTGTCCCTGTCAACATGTACATGTGTTCTTTTTTAAGTCTATTAACCATTGAATGAATAGCAATTTTGTCAGCATACATTTTTTTTTAAAAAAGAATTTGGCTTTTTTCTTGAAATATGTTAAAACTAGGGATGGCAAGGAATATTCGAATATTCATTTGATGAGTTGATATTCGAATATGAATTTAAGATTCAAATATTCGGTGTTTTTCAGATTTCATAAAAAGAAGTACTGTGATTAATAAATTTTGGAATTATCCCTGTTTAATTTACTAGCAATCAATTTCGATCGCCTGATTTCTTTCACTACTTTCTTATCTTATAGATCTACTAAATTACATGTATTTTGTTTTGAGTAAGGTGTTAATGAATTGTACAATGATGCTTTATATGTAATACAAAACATACTTTCATAGTTTTCATAAGTTAAATACGATCGAATCTAGAAATGAGGACAACAAAATGAAAACCTTATTCGAATGTCTAAAAAGTGAAGAGTATACATACTTATCTAAACAAACTTAATTGATCATTAAATGAACGTCCGATATAGAATTAGTCTGTAATTAATATTGTAAAGGGCTCAATTTCAGAATAAATGTGTAAATTACTTGATTATCTCGGGTTGTACAAATTTCTGAGTTTTATATTTATTATCGGGAAATTAGTTAATTACCTAGGAAAATGTTTATGGAAATATTTGATTGTATTTTAAAAATATTGTATCAAAGATTATAATCATATCTCTTATTAGGCAGATAATTTTAATTTATTACACATATTGAAATCTGAACAGTATATTGCTATGACCTTTGCCTTTGGTAAGACGACTGGTTCCCAGTTGGAGCTACTATATATATACACGTTTCATTTGTTAAAATGATACCTTTCTACATTTAAATAAATTATTTATTTCAAACATTGACAAATATCAAATGTAATTCTTATTGTACACCTACAAAAGTCTTCATACAATTTGACTTCCAATATAAGTATACAGGTCTACGCTAAACCTTTCATGAAAGTAGGATGATGCATATTTAAAATAAAACAGATTTTATTTATTTTATCGAATATTCGAATATATTCGAATACTTTCATTGAATATTCGAATATGAATTATTGACAAAATTGACATCCCTAGTTAAAACAGATTATTTCATTCAAATATGTTCCAAAAGATTTAAGCAAAAGGCTAGCTTATTTTATTCAGAAAATCCTTTAGCAATAGTTGATGGAATTTTTAACTGTTATTTTTTTTTTAATGTATAAAGCCTCCATCATGAAGAAAAACTACCTAGAAAAATAAAAATTTAAAAAAAAATTTTAAAAACTTTTTTTGGTTTTGTTTTATATCCATTGTGTATTACTGATTAAATGGCTTTTGTTTTTCGGTAATGTTTGTTGAAAATAATTGTATACTTAATTTTATTAAAATTTGATGTTGATCTGTGTGAATAGTTATTACACTGCAGAAATTTGCTTGTGCCCAATTGCTCAAGTGACCTATTGCTGTCTGTTTTCATTCATTGTCTTATATTTTGTGTTAAAATTTGAACATTTTCAGCTTCTTATCTGGAACCACTGAATCAATTTCAACTAATTTTGGCATACAGCATCTATGGGTGAAGAGTAAAAAAATCATTAATTTCAGGGATGAGGCCAAACCCATAAAAAAATCTTTAAAAATCTTCTTTACTCTTCTCTGCTTTTGGACATCTAGGAGAAAAACAGAGTGCAGAGTTGTAATGAGCAAGGGTGTCTTTACCAGATTTGTGAAATTTAGAACCATGCACTGGGTCAAGTGTTCTGGTGCTCACACTGGGCAGGACTTGATTGATCTTGTAAGTAAATTTGTATTCTAAGGGAGAGAAGGTATTAATTTCCCTTTGCTATTTACCTACGATAATTTAAAATCACTTTAAAAAATGTAATTCATAGAATCCAACAAGAATTTTTAAAGTATAATACAAAATGTACTTACGTAGTTTTCAAAGGTCATACTTGTAAATAATTGATAAATTAAAATGAAACAAAAATACCTTATCGAAAGTTTGTATATTAAAGCGATACCGTGGCGCAAAAAGGGAAGTATTGACAAAATTAGAATTTTTGCTTGACACATGCAAATTTTGTTGAATTCTTGAAAGTAACAAGTTTCAAAAAATTACAGGTTTCAGAGCCTAAAAATTCTATTTTTATGAGAGAAAAAACAACTTTTGTTTGCCCCAAGGCAACAATATTGCTTCTTTTCTTCACCGTAGCTCAGTCGGTAGAGCGCTCGCTCCGTGCTCAGAAGGTCGTGTGTTCGAATCACGGCCGCGACTGACCTAAGTCAAGTAGCAACTGTTCCTTCGCCAAGCGCTCTGCACTTTGAAGTTGCGGGTCATTCGGACGAGACGTAAAAAAACCGAGGCCCCGTGTCACGATAGGCGTTGGCACGATAAAGGACCCTCACTGCTCAATGGCCCTCACTGCTCAACGGGAGTGCCGAGTAAGGTCTAAATTTGAAGCCCTTCACCGGTATATGGTAACGTCTCTACCAGGGTTGTCCGGTAATATCGTGGACAAAGCGTTTTTATCGAAAAATAATGGGCGCAACTAAGCTGAAATGTTTATCATATTTGGGTGCATCTTAATTTTCTTGATAAAATATAGACAAAAATAAAGATTTTATTATGCTTGAATATATACAGGGTACGGTCCTACGGCGCACGATCATAATACCAGGATTTCATTAGGGAATATACGAGTATTTTTAAAAATAAAAGTATTAAATTGATAAGGCTGGGGGAAAATTATCTTTATTTTAATCCACTATCTATTTTATCGTCTTTTGGAAAATTTCAAGGCATTTGCTTAATTTTTGACAATTTCCCGATCATTTGAAATGGGAAAGTGGTAAACACAACATACGAAAAATGATTTGATGACGTTATGACGCATCGGAGAGCAGTTCCGTTGGATTTAGAGTAGTAATGTCGCCCTAAGAGACTTTAAATGACTACAGAAGAAAAAAAACTAGATCTTTAGTATACAAGTGAAAAGGGAGTTGTCTAAATGCGAAACTTTTTGATAAAGTCCCGGGGTAGAACATAACATACGGACAAACAGCTACTAGCAATAGCGAAAGACGCTGTCAGTGTAGACTGTCGTTATAAAATTAGCCTACTTAGTTGAATGATATAGTGAGAGTACTATCCATAATACAACTTACTAATAAATCTGCAGATGGTCCCATTTGTGTGCAAGATTGGTTCCTCGACTGATTATGGAGGAATAAAGGAAACCTCAAGTATGTGCATCAATGAAATTCCCGAATTTTAGTATCCACCTTTTTTTTAGCAGCTTTAGACACTTTGATGTTATCATCCGTGAGCCGTAAAGCGATGCCACACATAACATATAATCTCATATTTTATTTCTATTTGAAATATGCTATGTATATTGATGTAAAATGTACTAAAGAGTAGTGAAAATTTTAAAACGCGGTGATGATTATTTTTCACTCTAGACAACTTTTTCCCACGATTTTACCGGACAACCTTCGTATATGAGTGACAAATTCTCGAACGGGACGTAAAACTAGATACAAACAATCAATAAATCTTTGCAATTGTACAGGTGTGCAGAAAAGTTGAAGTTGCCATGATCTCAAGTTCCAAGAAATGAAAGTCGGTAGATCGAGGATTTTGATACAGTCTTCAATTAAAAGGTTATCAGAACATATTCCTCACTATAAATGTGAGAGGGAATGGGTTTTCTATATCAGCTCAACCACTATTGTTTTGTTTAGTCTGCATTATGACAGTGACAAATGGGGGCATGTACATGCAAGAAAATAGATCTACTTAGGATTTATTATGGAGTACGTACTACGTAGACTAATTATTTTGTTGACCTGCATAATCATCCTATTTCTCTTACTTTGGGGAAACATAACTTCAACTATGGGTTTAGTTTTATTTTATTTTATATTTCTATGGATCTTTTACAGTTTATACTCAGGTGACCGTTAAGGCCCTTGGGCCTTTTTTGTGTGTAGCTGTATGTTCTAACCAGTGGTACATTATGGGGTGAAATGAACATATCTCCCAAGCAAATGGGCTTAATTTTGTATAACTGGGTTAACTCTGCAATTATAATTTACATTTATTTAGATAGTCATATACGTCAGTGAAAGTAGAGAAAAATTAAACATTAATTTTAATAAGTTGACAAAATGAAGTTTGGTCATTGTTTACATGTAACTTCTAAATGACAGACCCTAGTCATGAATTGCTGGAGCATAACTTTGAGTACAACCTGTTAGGCGTGTAGATCATTTTAGGTAAATTTATATTCTCCTAGTCCTGCCCACCTTTTAAAAGAAATGGTCAATGAATTAATGGCCATACGATGACCCTAGTGTGTATTATTTTGTGGTAAAATTGTTATCCCTTCGCAACAATGTTGGAGGGGATACAGTAACGCGCTTGTGTGTGTGTGGGTGTTTGTGTGTGTGTAAGTTTGTCCTGTGCGAAACGGAAGTGACGTAGTTTGCATCGGGATCGATATGGAATGCTGTCTTGATTTATAGATATGTCCTTTGCGAGGGGATGCTCTGCTTTGCGGTGCCCTTGTTCATTATTTTTTTTACGAAAACAGCTGGACCACCGTCATACTAATATGCAAGCATCCTTAGGAATGGCAGATTCGGATTTGTTAAACTCATTTTCTGAGGAGTAGGGTATGGGGCTACTAATGAGGATCAAAGTTTTACATAGGAATAAATGGGAACAACATCTAGGGCTATGATTAATCATTTTTATTTACAAACGTCCACTAGAGGATCAAAGCATAAGAATATGTTGGAAATAATCTCGAAAACAACAGACCATGATTAGTTGCATGTTTAAAAAAAATATGCAAGCATGGAATAAATGGGGCTGTAAATATGTGTCAAGTATTACATATACAGTCAGTGTGCACATATAAGAGAAAGAATTTTTAAAAAATATGCTTGGTTGCTAATAAGAAATGATATGAATTTTTTTAGCCACGGGGATTTTTGTTTTGTTTTCATCCTTTTTTCCGGAGAAAATAAAGTGGGGGAGGGGGAGGGGGGTCTGTATGATATTTGGTGAAATATGAAGATAACTAACAGTATTCAAGCTCAGAAGTCCATTGAAACCATACAAATTTGGACCAAAGCAAACAAGGACCTCTAAAAATAAGGAGTGGATCAGGTGCATTGGAGGAGTAAGCATGCATCCCCCGTCGAATTGTCACATCCACCGTGTGCTCATTGTCATGAGCGGGCCAACTCCATATGCAGGTTATATCCTTTTCTAGTAAAATATCCAAATATGAAACAGATGTGTCAGACTCTGTGATCTCTTTTATTTCGAGTTCAAAGAGAATATATCGAATCAACGTATAGGAATGAAAACATGGCCGTAGGAACCGGGGGGGGGGGGGGGCACGGGGGGCCGTGCCCCCCCCCCCCCAATAATGCTTGTGCCCCCTCAATAAAAACGTCTGATGACTTTTTTTTTCTTGTTAAGGAATTTTGGTAGTTGATGTTTTTTTTTTTTTTGGCTTGTCAGGAAATTTTTGGTAGTGCCCCCTCAACGTCAACTGAAAAATGTATGGCTGTGCCCCCCCCCCCCAAACTGAAATTGCTTCCTACGGGCCTGGAAAATGAATATTGTAAAGTACGTCGTCGAAATATCTAAATGTTGAATTGAAGGCCTCAGCAAGAGACATCTAAATTCTTCTCTTGTGGAATTTTTTTTTATCTTCTGCTTCATATGAATACAAAAGTAGTTCTGTTAATAACGGGGTGCAATTGGTACCCCTGAAATTCCGACAGATTGTTGGAAGACCTGATCTCCAAAAACTACACAGATATTGTCAATTAGAAACTCAAGCATCTTTTTCATATCAACTTTGGAGTACTTGTTTGTACAATCGGAATGTTTTTTAACAAAATTAATTTGCAAATGACCATTGACAAGTTAAGTAATTGTACGAGTTCCGTTTTTATTGAAAAAGTAGCTGTCTACGATGTCAAAAAGGCTGGACTTTAATTTATCGTGGGGAATGATTGTATAGAGTGCTGAAAAGTCGTATGTTTTGATGTTATTGTTGTACAGCACTCCGAAGTTCGGGAAGTATCGGGTTCGATATGCCAAAAATTAAATAAACGGGAGATAACTTTTGGTGGTGATGTAAACACGTAACGAAACATCTGTTACTTAGTTGATGGTTTATTCCGTCTCTAAAACTAAAGGCAAGTTTTTTTTTCATCTGAGAACATAATACTTCATATTTTTCATACGTTTTATATACTCGATTAAAATTCAGCATCCGTTGTTTTTGTGCGCATACAGGTAATAAAAATCTCGAAATGTGCAAATGCCAAATGAATGTACAATATAATTTTAATTAATCTGACACAAAACGTATATAACTACATCCGTAATGCTTAGTAAAGAGAATTGGCTCATGGATCATCTGTCAGCTTTAGAAGTAATTCAGAATTTTTCTTGAATTTTCATCATTTAAAACACAAAGTTTGAAATGTTATTAAAATACGTTGTTCATTGAAATTTTCAAGAGGCAGTTTATATTATGATAAATATTCATTTTATGAATGACTGAAATTTTGACTCAAGACTAATACTGGGGCCTGGATGCATTACATACATAAAAAAGAGGTGATTAATATTTCAAATCTGTTGCAGTGATTTTTAGGGATTTCGTTGCAGACTGATTGACAATGTCGACTTTGGAGAATTTGCCAATTGACATTCATTATAACAAATTACAAGGTATATTAAAAAAAAATTCAAAAACTTTCAAATTCATGTTTCTATTATTGTTATTCAGCTTTTTTTTCTGAGACATCTATTCACTTTAGCTATTATCGTCATTCTTCACTTTTTTTGTAGATTGGTTAATCAACAGACGACATTGTGTACAAGAATGGCCAGCCCGAGCTGTGGTTATAAGAGAGAAAATCAATCAAGCCTTGACTGACATGCCTGAAAATCCCCAGATAACTGAATTATTGAAAGGAACATGTAAGTCAAATTCAACAAAAAATTCAAAACAAGCAAGTTTATTTATCTGTAGAGATGACTACAAAGAGTTAGAAGGTGGATAAAATATACAGATTGGTTAAAGAATATTTCTGGAATTAGGGAGTGAAAGGTAGCTGGATAGACCAATGCTGGAAACATGGGAAAGTTAAGAAATTCTCCCCAATCATGCGCCGGAAACCTTGCACCGTAAATTGCACCATATTTGCATTACGGGATCTGCAGCATTATGGTCAAAGACTAAAATATAAAATCATAACACTACAGTTCTGCAGCTAACATCAAGATAAAGTAGAGATTTAGTGCTTTCATTTCATTTTTAAAAAAATCCTCGGAGAGTCTAGGTATAGGTAATCATGCATTATAAATCTGTAATGTTCTTGAATTTTTGCAGAAAACAGGTGTATTTGAATACCTTCAGCAAAGAATTAAAATATGAACACACTCCTCAATCCAAACAATGAAACATGTTTTATAATCTTCAAACACAGTTTTATCATTGCATGATTGCACATTTTGGATCAGAGGGTGTGCTCCATATGAAACATTGTATTTGAAAAGCACCATAAAATTTTGTTCATTACTGAACAAATTTTGAGAATATGGAAAAAATGATGCAATTCATGACATCATAATCCATTAGTAATGACTGGGAAGAAAATGAGTACTATGTCATCTTCAATAGATATGCACTCACCAGGGGCTCTCTATATTTAATGCACTGTCAACTAAAACTAAGCTGTTTTGATTTTTCAGAAATTCACAGGGCCAAAAAAAAGGCCTTAAGTGAACCTTTGCTCTTTATTGGATTTTTTACATGTACATGAGAGTTTTTGTCCTTGGACTGAACATTTCTCTTGAATTTCTTCAGTGTTTACATGTTTTAAAAACTGATACATGTACATTTTATTTTCAGATATTAATTATTTTCACTGCAAGAAAATCATTGATTTGCTGAAGAAAGATGAACAATCTGGGAAAAAGAATGTATTTGGACAGTACTCCTCAAAAAGAATGAAAGTATGTCATAAAATGATTTAGAAATGAAAATGTGCATGTTAGACTTTTGGATTAAACACCACCATTCCAAAATTAAGATGGAAACCCCCTTTTTGGGCCCAATTTTCATTTTCCAACAAAATTTCTCAGTGAAGGTGTGTGCATAATTCAAAGAATTCCATAGTACATATGGGCATTTCTGTTCAGGTGTGGTGTGGTAAAGTTATCCATTGAATATGTGTACTAGGAATATTACAAACCATTTGCAATTGTGATGTAAGCATTGCACATTTTAACATCATCTTGAACATTTTATGTTCAATTTTACTTTTATGTACTAACATATATTAAGATTATTCTACCAAAAATAACCATTTCTTTGAATGAGTGATAATTTCTTTAAAATAATTTATGTTCACATTTTGTTATGTAGGATTGGTCAGAGATAGTTAATTTATATGAAAAGGATGGTATTTACTTAGGTAAGATAACTTGTAAAATATATATTACTGATACAGTAAAACACGCTTATAGCAAACACACTTATAATGAATTGACGCTTACAGCGAAGTGATTTTCATTCCCTGTGAGTTAATGATATATTGCAAACTTAATGGATATAACAAATTACGCTTATAATGAAGTAAAATCGGCCGTCCCTGGCACTTCATTATAAGCGTGTTTTACTGTACATATGCATCTTACTGATGTTAAGTGCCATGATTCAAAGTAAACTAAACCATTACAAACAAATATTTATAGGGGAGTCTGCTCAAATGTTGGCAAGAAATGTCAACTATGAAGTTCCTGCTCTTAAAAGACAAATTATCAAATGCCAACAGATTAAAAAGGTACAATAATTATTTATTTCATATCGTTACCGATGCCATATCTCCAAATGTAAATAAGTTTTAAGCAAGAAACAACATCAATTAAATTCAGAAGGAAATCGTTTGATATTTTAATGTTTTTGGTTTTTTATGAGTAGGAGTGTGACAGAAAGCAGGCAGTATATTCAGCTAAGGCTGAGGAACTAAGGAAGAAGTATGATGCAACATGTAAACAAATGGGAATAGAGGTAAACAGTTGTAACAGTTTTACAGAGCTGAACTTTTGCTGAATGCCAGTTAAATTCATAAGTGTGGAGAAAAAAAATGATTTAATTGAAAATATGGGGTTATGGAAACATTTATCTTTCATGGTTATGTACATCTAAGGAAAAGAGTTGATCTGAGAATGATATATTTTATCTGCTTCATTCAGGGTAAAAAGATAAAAACAGAGTTAGCTGCTCTTGTTCAGGATTTACCAGCTCAGTTCCAGAAGATTTCAGAGTCTGCCTCTAAATTGACCAAATCAGTGCAATATTATGATGAATTTGTAGACTTTGTCACTAAAAGGTAGAACCATCATTCTTCTTTTGGGTAATTTTCAATTAGATATTGTCATCACTGACTTATTCATCTGAGTTACTACCAGATACGAATCCTTTGAAAACATTTTTGAAGACTTTATTTTAATGAAATCTACATCCACTTTTTTTTATTTTGATATACATAGATCTGAGGAGGATAGGGGTAGTTTGCCAGTGTTAAAGTATGTAATGCAAAATGGGAACACAACAACATATCAATGGAGGACAGGAGAGAAACCAGAAGTGGTGGAGGAGGCCAAAATCTTCATTGACACAACAGATGAAGTAGATATTGAACAAGTGACAGATGATGTAAGATTGACAGACTACATTCAATTAGTTTATCATATTTGCAATTTGAGAACTAATGAAGAAAATCAAGGGTTGCTAAAATTAAACTTTATCTACTTGATGGACAAGAATTTTCCATGCTTCACAGTTGGAAAAATTGTATATACCAAAAGAAAAAGTTTTTGAAGAAAAATATTGAATTCTGCTTACTATTTTATGAATTTTTTAAAAAGACTAATTAAAAAAAAAGAGAAAGTAAAATCACTTGAGAAAAAGCATTGGTTTGAGGGGATTTGATTTTGTAGTTGAAGAAGAAACATGATAATGTTGTATAAAATATTAGCATTTTGTGGGGGATATGAATGCATGGGTCTCATCTTACCTGGAAAACAAAGAATATTAAACCCAAGAAAATTTTGTGATTTCACAGTATGCCTCACAAATTTCAAATATTTTTGCACATAAATACTACAAGAATAAAAAAGATTATGTACATATATATGTATCAAAGAATAATGAAAAAAATATACTATTCATATGATTCTATTATATTTACAATACATGTGTTACAGATAGACTGGGGAGATCCTGGAACTATGACAGAGTCAGCCATCGATTTTGGAGATGAGATAGATTTTAACATGGCTGACATCACAGTGGAAACAGGGGGCACAGAGGAAGGAGACCAGGTGATTAAAAAAATGATCATTGATATATTATTTTTTGTTGTAATGCTTACTACTCACTAAATAAGAATTTTGAAATGAAACGGATATACATGTATCCAAAAGATTTTAAAATCTGTGTCGTTATCCAAAGGTGTAATTTTTTTTTTTTTACAAATGGACAGTTTACTGCACATGTATGTCAGCCAAACCCTGATCAGAGTTGATTTTTCTTTCTACAAACTGACTCTAAAAAAAATAAAGAAAACGTTTTTTGCAATTAAAATTGACATATGTACAATTATTTAGAATCCTGCTCCCACTGCTGGACATGAGAGTGACAGTAATGGCATTGACTGGAGTGAGGTTGTGATTGTGGATAAACCAGATTCTGCAGGTAGAAAATCTCAGTTCACTAAACTGAAATGTGAACTCTTTTTTTTAATAGTTACTGTATTGCTATTGAATTATGCTTTTTTTTTCAGTGATATAAAGGATTATTTATTTTTTCAGAGGGTGTTGCCAAAGGAGAAGATGCTATGTCAGTATTGGACAATCCACGAACACGGACATTGTTTATTGATGATCTTATGGAGGTAAGGTATTTTTTACAATCAATGGTCAAGTACCAGTCCATGTATCACCATTAGTAATCCCTATTTCATATCAAGATGATTTTTTTTTTCAAAAATATGTAATGGGATAATGAGTAATTTGTAACGTAGAGGTAATAGACACATATTAAGATAAAGTGGATTAAAAATGCTTTTCAGTTCTCAACAGTTATCTGTAAGACTAAATTCATTGAAAGTTCTTAAGTAATATCTCATCCCATTGCTTAAGACAATCTTTATTGTAAAGTTACTTTTTGATGGTATGATTGTAAACCTAAAGTACATAACTATTGATTGTAATATTTCATAATCTTGTAACCATTGAAATGTTGAACTACAATGTAACAAATATGAGATTGCATTAATTACTTTGGAATCCCATAGTTGGAAGCATTCTTGTCTCAGCGCTTGTTTGAGCTGGAGTCTGACTCTGTGGGGGCAGATGTCCTGGCCAGTGGTCAGATGCAGGATGCTCCTCCATCCATACAGCTCCATCAGGACACAGTGACCAGTATGATTGGCCAGGTTAGGGACATAATAGCAGCATTCAGCACGGTCAAGATGCATCACCTACTGTCCATCAGGAACTCTCCCAGGTGTGTCATAACAAAACTGATTCTGACTTCTTTATATACAGTCATGTAAATCTCATCTCATGGTTTCAGAATTCATATATTTTACATCAGTTTCTGCTCATCTGCAATAACAGTCTACACATTTGTTTACTATATTTCTATGTGTTAATCAATTTTCTGCTCAGTTACTAGAAAAATTTACACATTTGTTTACTATATTTCTATGTGTAAATGAATGTATTAAAATTATATTTAGGTAGACTTTTAAATGTACAATTTACTGCAGTATTTACAAGTACATCAGTCAGATTTTCACTTTAATATCAATGAAGAATTGGAAAATTTCAGATACGTAGAACGTCTAAAGGACACATTAAAACAGATGTTAAACTTGGCTGATAAGATGGTGTTTCTGGAGAAAGAGATGGTAGTGAAACATAAAGATGCTGAAACAGAGCAGTCAGAGACGCAGCCTAAACTAGAACTAGTCATCAAACGCACCAAAGAACTGCAAAAACAGGTAAATACTAGTCATCAAACGCACCAAAAATCTGCAAAAACAGGTAAACACGAGTCATCAAACACAGCAAAGAACTGCAAAAACAGGTAATCCATACACTAGCCATCAAACACACCAAAGAACTGCAAAAATGGGTAACACTAGTCATCAAATGCACCAAAGAACTGCAAAAACAGGTAAACACTAGTCATCAAACACACCAAAGATTGCAAAAACAGGTAAACATTAGTCATCAAACACAGCAAAGAACTGCAAAAACAGGTAATCCATACACTAGTCATCAAACACCAAAGAACTGCAAAAATGGGTAACACTAGTCATCAAATGCACCAAAGAACTGCAAAAACAGGTAAACACTAGTCATAAAATGCAGCAAAGAACTGCAAAAACAGGTAATCCATACACTAGTCATCAAACACACCAAAGAACTGCAAAAATGGGTAACACTAGTCATCAAATGCACCAAAGAACTGCAAAAACAGGTAAACACTAGTCATCAAACACACCAAAGAACTGCAAAAACAGAGGTATACACTAGTCATCAACTGCACCAAAGGGAATACACTAGTCATCAAACGCACCAAACTGAAAGAACTGCAAATACAGGTATACACTAGTCATCAAATGTACCAAAGAATTGCATAAAGTAAGGTTAATGAAAGTCCGGTTATTATGAATGTCCTGGGATCATGGAAAAAAGCTTTCTCCTAGCATAATTCGTTATCGCAAGTGAGTTAAGGCTAAGTATAGAAGTTTCTTTGCAGATAAACTCATTAAAAGACTTAAAGGCTATACCTATCATACACAGAAAGTTAAAACTTGTTTTCTGATACAAAGTTGGTACCAATGACATGTGATAGCCAGTATACATTATGAAGTCATATTATGACGTCATTGTTCTCTGCTGCACAAGTTTATAAGGAACATCAACAAAATAGCATCAAAGCAAGGGTATACCTTATTTTGTTTTACAGAAACAAAATATAAACAGAAGCAGGATATTCTAAGGATTTATGATATTGCTGCACAAATGTCGACAGTGTAATAGTTTAGTTACTATTCGTAAAGTTTTGAGTTGAACCAGGGTAAAATTTCATAGTCTGGGGTAAGTTTCCTCAAAATTTCATCAAATGAGAAAGTGCATAGGATTTGTGCAGCAATTTTATTAATTTTTAGAATATTCTTAATATTATACATTATTTATTTAAAACTAAATGGGATATGCCCTTGCGCCGACACTGTTTTGTTAATGTGTTTTATTGCCTTGAGTGGTAAAGAAAAGTGACTAGCTTTAACATGTTGTGGGTTCTAAGTATGTATAAGAATAAATTTAAACTTTCTCTGTACAAAAGATCTTACGGAGTTTTAATAGCTCATTTGCATAGAAATGTCTATACCTAGCCTTAACTCACACGCGGTGAAATTTAAAAAATAAACTGTTATATTGAAAGCAGATATAAAGCTCATTTTACAAAATTTGGGAATGCAGTCATTGTGATTTATTCCAGAATTTGAAAGTTCTTCATTGGTTTTTAGCTCACCTGAGCTGAAAGCTCAAGTGAGCTTTTCTGATCACATTTTGTCTGTAATCTGTCTGTCCTTCTCTAAACTTTTCTTATTTTTGACCTTCTCCAGAACCACTTGGCCAATTTCAACCCCTGCCACAAAGCATCCTTGGATGAAGGGGACTCAGGTTTATTCAAATGAAGGGCCAAGGGGAGATAATTAAAAATTAGTGAAAAATTTGGTGGCATCTTTAAAAAATCTTCTTCCCTAGAACCACTCGGCCAAAAAAGTTGAAACTTATGTGAAATCTTCATTACATAGTGTAGATTCAAGTTTGTTCAAATCATGACCCCCGGTGGTTGGTTGGGGCCACAATGGTGGGTTAAATTTGTACAAAGGAATATATAGGAAAAACTATTCAAAAATCTTCTAACAAAGCCATGATTAGTCATATTGATACAGAAGCATTCTAAGCTAGTGTAGATTCAGATTTGTTCAAATCATGACCCCCAGGGGAAGGGCGGGGCCACAATGGGGGGTTCAAAGTTTAACATAGGTGTATATATAGGAAAAAATCTTTAAAAATATTCTCAAGAACAGTAAAGCCATGATTAGTTATATTGATATGGAAGCATCCTCAGGTAGTGTAGATTCAATTGTTTTTTTTTTCAAGTCATGACCCCCAGGGGGTAGGGTGGGGCCACAATGGGGGATCAAACTTTTACAGAGGAATATATAGGAAAAAATCTTCTCAAGAACAGCAAATACATGATTTGTCATATTGATATGATCAAGTATCCTCAGGTAGTGTAGACTCAAGTTTGTTTAAATCTTTACCCCCTCGGGTGGGTTTGGGCCACAATGGGGGGATCAAAGTTTTACATAGGAATATATAGGAAAAAATTGCTGATGAAGAACAGCAGGGCAATATTGACATACTGAGCATTGTGGCCCATAGGCCTCTTGTTTGAAAATTACAGAAGAATTTGATGAATAGAAAAATCAGGCATTTTTTTTTAGTTACTTTGAACACTCCTTTTAAAACATAAATTTATCTTATGACCAATGTAAATGAAATTTTTTGTATTATACAATCATGTAGTTTGTGTTATCTTTAGCTCTAGGTTCTGAATACAGCAATAATGATGTTAGTTATCAATTAAAAACTTTTTTGTTTACTACAGATGGAAGCTGAAATATCAAAGCGATACAAGGACCGTGTGGTGAATATAATGGGAGAAATAAATACAATGTGATGATAGTCCTAATTTATAGACCACACTAAATTTGTGATAACTAAATCAGATGTGATTGAAAATTTTCATGAACCAAGTCAATAAGCAGTATACATGTAGCATCAGGTAAATTCATAAATTTGTATACGAAGTGTAACAGTCACTCAGAGACTCATGGGAAGGAAAGAGGGAAGAATTGATCTAGTTTACCATACTAGATTGAATCATTGTCCAGAATGACAAATCAAAGCGGAGATGGAGTATATTATTATTATTTTTTCTGTTACATGTGATATTTAAAATAAAATTATGGGAAGGCATTTCTGCACTTGTCTTAGAAATAGAAAGTGATATTCAAGTTTAAATATTTGTGTTGCAAAAACATGAGAGTTTGCTATAGCTATAGTTGATTGAGGGAACTAGTAGATAAGCAGATTTTGTTTCTCCTTCCATCCAGTGAAAGGCATTTCTATTACTTGTAATTAAATGCTTAAATAATCTAGGAAGAATTCCGTACTTTTTGTATTGATTTACTTGTCATTCTTGTTAATCGTCCCCTGTTTATTGTTTGGGATCCAAAAAGATAACCCGCCTTCTGTTTTGGTCATTTCATTATTATTTATTTTAAATTTAAACCAGTTATATTGCTTGTTATGAAGAAGAAAGGAAAAATGTATTTATTTGACATTTAATTGATATAAGTGCAAAGTAATGGAATGTATCCCTTTCTGTTCTGTTATGAATAATAAATGTAAAGGTGTGCTACAGTGAAACTTCGAGAAACAATTTTAAAAGTTTGTTCTTTTCAAATCTTATAAATTAGAAGGAGCGATCATCTTGAGAGGGGAGTAGAAGGATTAAGAATTCCATCAACAAAGCGCATCTTAGCTTTCCAAAATTCTGGATCAGTCCTTGCTGTGAGAAAAAATTCAAGTTAAAAAAAACACATTTATGTAAACATTATTTCCTCTGAAGCTCAATTGAGCCAAAAGCTCAAGGTACATGTATCTGTTTGTTGTCTGTTATCAGTTATTGTCATCTGATTGTAAACTTTTCACATTTTCATCTTCTCCAGAACCACTGGTCCAGTTTCAACCAAACTTGCTACAAAGCAGGGGATTCAAGTTTTCAGATCATCTGAGTCACTCAGGTGAACTACTGCTATCTTTTTGTTCGGCGAAGTGCGTCGTCCATTGGTCGTAAACTTTTGAACATTTTCAGCTTCTTCTTTTGAATCACTGAACCAATTTTGGCATATAGCATTAATGGGTGAAGGGGTACAAAATTGTGAATTTCATGGTCCCTGCCCCCCTGGGGCCTGGGGAGGGGCTTAAACCTACAAAATCATTGCTATTTTGAAAAATCTTCTTTACCCCTGGACATCAAGCAGTCAAACTGTTGGCATGATTTTAATAGACATTGAGCCCTCTACCAAAATTGTGAAATTCATGGCCCCAGGGTCAGGAGCTCTGGAGTTAGGATGGGGCTCTGATGATCATATAGTGAAAATGCATAATAACTTTAAAAATCTTCTTCTCTTCCCCTGTATATAAAGCGGATAAAGTAGGTGTAAAGTTATGATGATCAAGGGTGCCACTTTTAAAATTGTAAAATTTGTGGCCCTAGGATACCTCTTCTAAAATTTTGAATATCTTGTCCCCTGGGTCAGGGGCTCTGATCACAGGCACTTGACGTTTTTTTATCAATATTCTCCATACTATAATAATATTATTATTTATTATTATAGTATGGAGAATTTTTTATTTATGAAAAGAAAGGTTAAAAACGTCAAGTGTCTGTGGTTCTGATGTTAGGGCGGGGCTCTATTGATTATATAGTGAAATTGCATTAACTCTTTGAAAATCTTGGGTATTTAGCAGATAAACTAGGTGCATGGTTATGATGATCAAGGATGCCTTTTCCAAAATTTTGAAATTTGTGTCTCCAGGGTGAGGGTTTCATGTGGGAGTGGGGAGTCTATTGAATATATAGTGGAAATGCATTTTTTTTATTTTGAAAATCTTCTTCTCTGCCCCTGGGCATTTAACGGAAAAACTAATTTCATGGTTATGATGAGCAAGGATATCTTTTCAGAATGTTTGAAATTCATAACCCCGGATCAGGGATTTTGGTGTTAGGATGAGGCTCTTCTGAATAAATAAAGTATATAGTGGAAATGCATTATTTTATTTTTTAAAATCTTCTTCTCTGCCCATTGTTATTAAGGAAACATACTAAGTGCATGTTTATGATGAGCAAGGGTGCCTCTTCCAAAATTGTGAATATCTTGTCCCCAGGGTCAGGGGCTCTGATATTAGGATGAGACTATATTGAATATAAAGTAAAAATTGAGTATTCCTTTGAAAATGTTCTCTTCTCCTGGGCATCTAGGAGGTAAACAGAGTATATAAAGTTGTAATAAGCAAGGATGTTTTTACCAGATTTTGAAATTCTGTACCCTTTGGTCAGTTTATTAATTTCTACGGAAAGAAGCTATTCCCCTTTGTTATTCACCTATGATAGTTAATCACTGTAAATAATGTTAACTGGAAAGGTCAATTGAATAACAGAATTATACAAGAATTTTTATATTTAATACTTAACGTACTTTCGTAGTTTTTAATGGTCAGGAAGACTTTTTAAATAATAGATAAATGAAAATGAAACAAAAATATAGTATACAGGGAAAAATCTTTAAAGAAGAAATTGTATGTATACAGGAAAAAAATCTTTTTAGAAATCAGGAAGACCATTTTAAAAATACCATATAACGTGGATTTTTTAGCGACCATCTAATTTTCCCATTATTAACAACGGTCATTGCAATGGCAACGCTAAAAAAAATGCCGGGAATAAAACAGTCTAAAAATTGTCTGAGAAAATAAATAGATTGATCCCTAAAATCGCTTAAAATTAATTGTGCTAAAATAAATGCCCACCGCTCCTTTCCATTCTTGATAGCAATTAACATCTTTGAGACTAATTATCTCGAGTAAAACAGGGTATCGACAGGTTTTGGAAAGGGAGTGGATTGGAACGTCTTAAAGGGTAATCCTAACCGTATGTAAATTTTTCATGCATGGGTACTTTTTGGTTGGTTCTGGTGCATTTTGGAAGTCAAAAATTAAGTGAACAAAATCTAGCAGTCATACTTTATAAGACAATTTTTAATTTAAAGTATCCCTATGCCGTGTATAGTCAATTTGATTACGGGTATGCCATGAACCACTGGGGCTAGAAAGGGGCTACGGTATGTGGAAAAAAAATTTTCACATGAATGAAGGGGGAAAAGAGTTTTAATGATGAATAGAAATATAAAATAATAATACATAAATTTATAAAGCGATTAACATAATTCAAGAATTACTCTAAAGCGCTGTACAATAAAATATTGATAAACATAATTTAGGCCACACCAATTTAATTTCTTATTCGTCGGACATTGATGAAAAAAAAGTAAGAGCGGGGTAGCGGTTAAATAATAATATTATTACTTTTTTGTAGGCAACATTTTTAGGCGGAACGTGAAAAAATTTATATTTTTTCTGATTTGCAGAGTTAGCAGATTTAAAATACGAAAAATAAAGCGGAAATGGAAAAGAAAATAGCACAGAATTTCCATGGTGCGGGAAATTGAAATTAATATTATTTGTATAGTTTTGCTTAAATACGAGCGCGCGGGTCCGACGAACAAAACATTTTATTGGTGTGGCCTTAAGAATTATAAATAAATAAATTAAATTAACATACATATGTAAGAAATTATAACATGTTTAAAATAATGAAATGACACTGTACTAAAATTACATACATACAATTACGTTTTTTTAAAAAAAAATCCTGTGAAATTAAGAACGTCTTTAGAGACTTATTGCTAAAAATTGTGCGGCAAGTATTTAAAAAGCTATTTTATAAAAATATTATTATATGTCTTTAAAAAATATCCAGGGTCTGTGCCTGTTTTATGTCATCAGGAAGGTCATTCCACAAAAGCGCTGCTACCCAACTGAGCTGGCGTTGTCCGGATTTCTGGGAAGTCAAGTTACTTATGTGAGCATTACGGCTCATGAATCTCTTGTTAATGTATATGTAGGATTGATAATGGTTGTATCTTGACGATGCTGTACTGCCATGTGATGTCCGAAGCAGACACATACAGTGTAGCATCGTTTTTAAAAGTGGAAGGGAGGGGAGAGCCATTAAAAAAACTGACACCTCCGAAAAATCTTTTGATAGCAAAAAGAAAAAAAAAGGAGGGGGTCGTCCAGACTCCAAAACCCTACTTCCTGTGAAGGTTGGGTGTAGATTCAAACGTTTTCTTTAAGAAAATTTAGAAACATTAACATGGAACGATTTGACCTTATTGGAACAAAAGCGGGAGGGGTAACTCGCCTTTCAATGAACATTTACATACTAAATCAACAGTAAAATAATTAGTTAGGAAAAAATTGGGGGTGGGGCAGCCCCCTTTCCTCCATACTAAGTGCCTGCGAACAAATGGTTGTACCGTTTAAATTTCTTTTTATTGCAGACCATGCATATGTCGAGTCAAAGCAACTTATCCCCCATGTTCGGCGTTAAAACGTCTGGTCACGGCGTTAAATGTATAGTTCAGAACATATGCTCTCGATTCCCTTTTTATGCCCCCGTAATCGAAGATTCGGGAGCATATAGTTTTTCCCTGTCCGTCCGCCTGTCTGTTTGTCCGCAAAAACTTTAACATTGCCCATAACTTTTGATTGGTTAGAGCTATGGCTTTCATATTTCACATGTGTATTCCTTGTAACAAGACCTTTCTTTGGGTACAATCATATTTGACCCTTTGACCTTAACCTTAGAGTTTGACCCAGTTTTGCAAAATTTTACCCAACTTTAACCTTGACCATAACGTTCGAACGATTGGTGCTAGGCTTTCATACTTCACATATGTAATCTTGTAATAAGACCTTCCTTTGGATACCAACAATTTTTTAGTCCATTGACCATGACCTTGGAGTTTGATTTACATTTGGAAAACTTTAACCTTGGCCATTACTTTTTAATAGTTGGCTCCAGGGCTTTCATACATCACATATGTAATCCTTGTGACAAGACCTTTCTTTGGATACCAATAACTTAGACTCTTTGACCTTGACCTTGGAGTTTTACCTACTTTTGAAAAACTTTAACCTTGGCCATAACTTTTGAACGGTTGGTGCTAGGGCCTTCATACTTCACATGTGTATTCCTTGTAACAAGATCTTTCTTTGGATACCAATAATTATAACCCATTGACCTTGACCTTAGAGTTTGACCTACTTTTGGACAACTTTAACCTTGGCCATTACTTTTGAATAGTTGGTGCTAGGGCTTTCTTGCTTGACAAATGTAATCCTTGTGACAAGACCTTACTTTGGATACAAATAACTTTGACCCTTTGACCTTGTAGTTTGACCTGCTTTTGAAAAACTTTAAACTTGGCCATAACTTTTGAACGGTTAGTGCTACAGCTTTCATATTTCACAAGTGTATTTCTTGTGAGAAAGCCCTTCCTTGGGCATCGATCATTAATTTTAACCTTTGAGCTTAACCTTGATGTTTGACTTACCCTTGAAAAACTTTAACCTTTTCCATATCTATTCAATGGTTGTTGCTAGGGCTTTCATATTTCACTGGTATATTCTTCGAGACAAGACCTTAATTTATACACCAACATATTTGATTTGCGTTTGAGAAAGTTTAACCTTCGCTCTAAGTTGCCCTAGGGGGGCCATGAGTGTTTCACAAACACATCTTATTTTATGTTATCTATGTATGTAATGGTCGTACGTGAATGTGTCCTCATAAAGAGATAAACCAAAATGACATTTTCTGTGCCAATTTTCGCCATTTTTTGGTGTTTGGAATTCATAGCAGGTATGACGGCATTTAAAGATGAACTAATGTACATCTACACGATAAGTCAAAAACTGAAAATTTATGTTTTTGCATTGAACCACCATTAGAATTTCTGACAAGTATCGTGAAATTATGGGTAAAATTGTTATCAAGTAACCCAGATAAGATTCCACAAATAAAAGGTGTTCTGCATAAATAGTATTTTTTTCGTGACTTGCTTACCATGCTAACCAAGAACTAAGACAAAGTGAGGTACTGATTATTTGACAAAGTGGAACGTCGATATACATATAAGATCTTAACGGCGTGTCCTGAATCAAGATCAGGGCAAATATTCTATCAAGTTACAAAATTAATGCCGAAGTGATAATACTCGTAAATTTAACATCCATTGCTATGCTAATGGTCCTGGTCTTTCACAATTGGGCTCATCAATAGGAACAGCATACTTAATTAGACCTGAATTCACCCTAGTCAAAAGTTTCATATTCAAAGCTTGGACAAAAAATTCAACAGCTCACTGGAGTTGAATCAAGGTGATGCTACTGATGATCAGTCTGTATCTATCATTTCAACAAAGGGTTACTAAGTTATATCCTAAACAGAATACACTGTATTTACCGGTATGTCTAAAATCGACCTTGATCTTTGAGATAGTGCCATTTTTCACATGATAATACATCGACAGGCATAGGTAACAACATACTACTAGTAATTCCTGGACAAATTTGGTAGAGGACTTAGTCATGCCAACAGTTCGAAGCAAGACGACGGACAAAAGGTCACCTGAGTCACTCAGGTGACCTTACAAACTGACTTTATTAAAAACTCTGATTTACAGCAAGACGACGGACAAAAGGTCACCCGAGTCACTCAGGTGACCTTACAAAATGATTTACTTTATTAAAAACTCTGATTTACAGTGATAGACTTTGATTTAAAATATTAAAAAACTTTTATTACTGTAGTAAACCAGAAGTATCTGTTGAGACTATAGCTCTACTGGTTTGTACTTCTAACAATTAAGGAAGAGAAAAGTAGCACTTGGACTTGAAACTTTGCAACAGCAATAAATAAATAGTAATCCTTGTTTTACTCTCTTTTTGTGGCAAGATGAATTGCAATAAGACTAAAACTGTAGAAGGAGTAGCCATTTAAAAGAATTTTAGAGAAATTTTGATTTTAGTTACCATGGCAACATTATTCATCAAAATAAAAAAAAAACAATTAAGACGATTATATATCTCAGTGTAGTCTACTTGCATGCCATGTTATATTAAAATCAGACCAAACTGTAGGCAAAGTAATGTTTTGAAAGTATATCAAAGAAATTCAATTTTTTTGTAACCATGGCAACACTTCACCAAAATCAAAAAAATGATATACAGAATTATGTATCTCAGTTTAATCTACTTGTGTGCCAAGTTATATTGAAATCAGTCCAAAACTGTAGGAGGAGTAGCATTTTGAATGTATTTCACAGAAATTTATATTTTTAGAAACCACGGCAACACGAAATCAACAACCGATACACAGAATTATGTATCTTAGTGTAGTCTACTTTTGTGCCAAGTTATATTGAAATCAGACCAAAACTGTAGGAAGAGTAGCATTTTGAAAGTATTTCACAGAAATTTCTATTTTTAGTAACCATGGCAACACCGTTCATCGAAATCAAAAACCGATACATAGAATTATGTATCTTAGTGTAGTATACCTGTGTGCCAAGTTATATTGAAATCAGACCAAAACTGTAGGAGGAGTAGCATTTTGAGTTATTTCACAGAAATTTCTATCTTTAGTAACCATGGCAACACCGTTCATCGAAATCAAAAATCGATACACAGAATTATGTACTAGTATCTTAGTGTAGTCTACTTGTGTGCCAAGTTATATTGAAATCAGACCAAAACTGTAGGAGGAGTAGCATTTAAAAAAAAAATGTTTACAGACAGACAGACAGCTAGACAGACGGACGGACGACGGACACCTTACTATCGCATAAGCTCTTCTGGTCTCTGACCAGTAGAGCTAAAAACTTAGATGCCTTCATTTAACATAGTAAACTATAGATCACAATAGTTTCTGCTTAGGGTATTTTTACGCGGCAATAAAAGCATTTCAATTATACATAGGTGTTATGCTTATGTATAAGACAAAATCTCTACTGTTCTTATTTACCGGTTAACTTCAATGTTTTGCAGTTTGCTATGGCTCTATACCATGTACAAATCACGATGACTGTGGAGGTATTCAGTGCCCTGCTGGGTACGCTCCTTACTGCGCTACCATTTTATTTAGCCAATGCAAATGCAGCCAATGTGAGTATTGAAAAATGTTCAGTTTGTACCTTCAGTCCTGCTACATGTATAAATATACCTAATGTTCTGATTCACCAGTTCAACCGAACATAAATTATTTTTAAAATAAAACTCAAAACACTTTTATATAGGAATGAGCTCGCACGCGCGAGTGTAACAGACCTTAATGAAGTGTATTCAGTATACAAAGCAATCTTTAGTTCAGTTTCTTATTCAAATATCCATAACATTTTACAAAAGAAAAAGGCTCCTATAAAGGGACAACATCAAAACAACAAAAAACATGTAGGAAATACCGATACTGGGAGGGGTAGGGGATAGTCTATTGCAATGTAGCAGTAAAACACCCGAAATTCTACCTTATAAGTGACTGAATCATGCGTAGCACGGATTCAACCTATTCACCCGTAAACAAAATAAACACCCAATCGATCTCCGATACTGCATTCATAACAAACACACGTGTTTTCCCGTAACTTTTATAATTGTATTAATTTTATCATTATATTGAAGTAATTTCTCTGTTTAATTATGAAAAGTTAAAATTCGTTCATTTGTAAAGCTGATGCAATGTGGTCGGCGTGGAGCGCATGGAGTCAGTGTAGTGTGACTTGTGGCGCCGCGTCGGGTTCGCGAACAAGGCAGCGGAACTGTGCGAAGAGCGCCACTAGCCACGACTTTTGTGTCGGTAACCACCGGCAAGCAGAGGTTTGCCGTGCATCTTCATCACATTGTCCACGTGCGTATTAACTTCTAATCGGACATTTGCAAAACTTTGTAGAACCCATATTATTTTATAAAATTATGAAAACTGGCAATATATATACAATTTTTACTTTCTGATGATAAATTAGTGTTTATTTTAAGGAGATGGTCACTGGGGACATTGGTTTGCCTGGTCATCATGCAGTGTTTCCTGTGGTATAGGAACAAGACAGAGACACCGAGACTGTAACAATCCTCCACCAGCCTATGGAGGATCCTACTGCTCGGGCTATGTCACAGATAATCAGGCTTGTTCCCATTCCTGTACAAGTAAGACCATAACGAGATCCGTTATGTTGTCCTTGGCATTTTAATGTGCTACGTACGTATATTTAGTCAAGAGCTTAAACCAAATGGTGGTAGGTGTTTTATGTCGAAAAGTCATATTCTGGTTAGTTCAAATATGGATTAAGTTATAAACAAACTGAGTACTTAGTATTAATGACTTTTATTTGGTTTTAGCCACTACCACGGCAACAACAACTACTACTTCAGCTACCACTACTGTACCAGGTACTGATTATGTATATTGTGTACTGAAGAAATGCTTCTAAATACAAGGAATGTTTGGTTTGAGGAATTGTATGCTTGTCCTTTTTAGCTCACCTGAGCCGAAGGCTCAAGTGAGCTTTTCTGATAACATTTTGTCTGTAGTCCGTCTGTCCGTCTGTCTGTCCGTCTGTAAACTTTTCACATTTTCGACTTCTTCTCAAGAACCACTGGGCCAATTTCAACCAAACTTGCCACAAAGTATCCTTGGGTAAAGGGGATTCAAGTTTGTTCAAATGAAGGGCCACGCCTTCTTCCAAGGGGAGATAATTAAGAATTCGTGAAAAATTAATGGCATCATTAAAAAATCTTCTTCTCAAGAACCACTGTGCTTGAAAGTATGAAACTTATGTGGAAGCATCCTCAGGTAGTGTAGATTCAAGTTTGTTCAAATCATGACCCCCGGGGGTCGGGTGGGGCCATAACAGGCGATCAAAGTTTTACATAGGAATATATAGGAAAAATCTTTAAAAATCTTCTTCTCAAGAACAGCAAAGCCATGATTGGTCATATTTATATGGTAGCATCCTCAGATAGTGTAGATTCAAGTTTGTTCAAATCATGACCCCCGGGGGTCGGGTGGGGCCACAATGGGCGATCAAAGTTTTACATAGGAATAACCCCCCTCCCCCCCCCCCCACCCAACCACTTTTATATTTAAACTTTTCAACCTTTCAAGACTGAACTGATTTCTGCTTTACCTAGCCATAGTGCTCAGGTGAGCGATGTGGCCCCTGGGCCTCTTGTTGATTATAGGTAAGCCTTGTCCATCATGTGATGAAAGGCTAAACTGTGTTTGGAACCAGACATGCTCAGCAACTCAATCTTGTATGGTGAGGGCTGTAACGGGCCACGGATTTCAATTCACTGTACACTGTATTCTAGTAAGTTACTGTCAGCCAAACGGATCATTCATGAATGAAGTGTGCTATGTATTTTGTAATTTGTAATCATTGAGATTATATAACTCTTGTGTTTTTATTGCAGAGTCAAGACTGTCACTTCATGACCACATTTTTACATAACTCAGAAATCTACTGCTGTGATGACAGAGAGTGTCTCAGAAAATATATTGGGATATAGATTTTAATAAACTTGACACCTATTGTCAATACATATACTATATCAAAATTGTTCAAACACAGTAATCTTCTCAATCTAAGAAGAACTTTAAAAAACTTATTACACAGATTAAACAAAATCAAAACAATACACAATATTTTTTAAAGTTTAAACTAAATTTACTTTTCAGAATTCTCCTAAATTTATTTTGTCCCTTTGGTAACACTGAGACTTCTTGTGATATTATGTTGCACAACAGAGAGGTAATGAACACGCATTAATACAAGTGCATCATTGGAAAGCAACAGAACAACCAAAATACTAAAATCATTTGTAGATTCTTCTTTCATGGTCTGTAAATGACAAAATGTCACAAAACTATAAGAAGAAATAACGAGACAAAATTTTGTCCTTTTGACTTTTCGAGAACCAAAAAAAAAAAAAAAATGAAAAAAAAAGAAAAAATAAAATAATAATAAATAAATAAAAAACAAATTGTGCAAAACAAAAATTAGAGTATTTCTTAATTTGTTTAAGAAAGCAATGCCAAACTTGCATTACATAATTTTAAAATCTTTATAGCCTCAAAAGTATAGAAAAGAAAGATGTATTTGTAGAGTCATACATTGACGCCATATAATTCAACTGCTTGTCCGACCTCACCATTCAACGTATATGCCAAAAAGTTCTTTATTGCATCAGCATATCAAAAGACCAAAAGTTAATTTGACGAATACCACGATCGCAAGGCAAGGTGTACAAGGAAAACGCGGGAAGTAGAAAGCAAATATCAATTAGTTTCTGTACCATCGAATACTGGAATTAATTCATATGATTGACATGGATTGTAAGGCCTGGTAAATTTGAATGCGTTGCTTATTTTCTCGGTCTTTAACCTTATCTTTCATTGCTATTAAATGACAATTATTATGGCGCAATAAAAGGAATTTTGACAGAGATAACACTTTGATAAGAAGAAGACCACCGAGGAATGCACATGCGTCCAAGCATGAACAAATATCATATACTCCTTGCTGCTTTAGGCATTTTGGATACTCTCTCAGGTAAAAACGCCTAAGCAATATAAAAAAAGTTATGATTTAAAGATTCCTGAAATGCTGGTTGCAATTGTCATATGGAGAAAAAGGGAGCCGAGGCAAAACTGATGCAGATGGTATCATAATACTAGTAAGTATTCTACTACAGACATCTCTAGGGATGTTTCTTTTTTAAATATTGTTCCATCTTATTTGCCCAACAATCTTTAAGCCATAAAGAAAATAAAATGATAGATAGTTTTAGTTTAAGGTGGAAAGTGTCATTTACATCATATCATTTATCTTGATCATTGGATGCCATTTTGTTTGTTGATGGTTTACTTATCGTATTAACAATCACCTTTCTTAAGTTTAGCATCTTTCTTAGCCTCTAATTTCCAATTTTGTGTACATTTTCTGTGAAGATTTTCTTATTGCGTTACAAATATCAGACCATCATATAAGACTGTAATACTCCATAAGCTTTCATTTGAGAGAATTTATCTATTATTTATCAGCTGAAATGTTGCAAGCATGTGTTTTAGTTCTAAACAAAAGGTCGAGAATATAGAGAGAAATTATAATTACCATCAATGCAATTAAAATGATTGTACTTTTTGATATTTGATAAATTCCTTTGAAGTTACAGTTCAGTTATAGGTTCACTGCAACTTTTAAATAAAGTATAAGGAAGAACGGAATGTTTAATTGGAGAATTTTCTCGCAATGAAATAGGAAATGCTTTACTTGGAAGAATCAAGAATGGTATGAATAAAATAATAACTGGACCATGAATATCATTGGACATAAATTTTATAAAAAAAGGAGATATCTCTTTCAATAAGAAATACATAACTTTTTGCTTAGGAAATATCTCTGTAACACAGACAGGCATCTCTTTAATTTAGAAATATATTGCTTAATTTAGTGAGATATCTTTTATAACAAAGGAGATATCTCTTTAAACAAATGAAATATCTCTTTTACTAAGACAAATATCTCTTTAAGCTATAGAGGTATCTCTTATCATCGCTCAGAGACATCTCTTAAACAACGATAAAAAGATATCTCTCTTAGTTAAAGAGATATCTCTTTAAATGTTGTAGGTTGGGACATTTGAGTTGTATCCCAACCTTTTGTCGTATTGATGTCACAATGCGATTGTAAAGCTGTGATCGAACACTGTCCCCAAAACTAACTTTCATATCATAACCTAAGATGTGGATTAAAGGCACTATACCATATTTGCCTGGAATATTCCTAAGGGAATAGAGAACCAACTCCTGTAGATGGTTTAGAAAGGTATTTCGTTTTGTTTATAAGTCCACTAAAATTTTCAAAAATATAAATCACATATAAAAATATAAATCGCATCATTATGATAATACATTCTATAGATCTGTCCATCAACACATGTTTTAATGTAAATACACGTATTTAATATATATATATATATATATATATATATATATATATATATATATATATATATATATATATATATATATATATTATTATTATTATTACCTTTTTATATTTTTCACAGATAAATTGTGTATTAAGGAAAGACAATTAGAGTTAGGGTCATATCACTTTGTATTATATGTCATTCAACACTTTTTCGGGAATTGGATATAACTCGTTCAATTAATTTTCACTGTAATATCCTTAACTTTCAAATTTTATGAGTGAAAAATTCTCGAGAGGGACGTTAAATAACATACAAACAAACAAATTTTAGACATGTTTGACCACAGAAGGAACACATCTTTAATTCATTAGTGTCATAGGAACCCAAATTAAATTGCATGAATTTATAGCAACAGGACCTGTGCTGTCTTATCTACAACTTACTACAACTGTATTGATAATATAATCAACTTAACAAGTTTTCCCAAGATTTATACTGCCTGAAAAGCCCCATCAGTATAACAGTCTTGAAATATGCAGAACATGACGTTTTCTTGTGCTAGTACTTTAAACATATACGGCACTCATGCACTGGAATGAGAAAAGGAGCCATGCATGCATTGTCCATAAAATTTTGCTTTATGAACCAGGATAATGTTCACCATGTGTAAGGACATATGTGATAGAGAGGACAAATTATGAAAAGATGGCCGTGCAGCTTCCAAAAAGCATATGAATTTTTCCATTATACTCTTGTTTTTAAATGTAAACAATTGTTCGAAAAAGCTTAAGGACATACGCAACGTACCTTACCTACTGATAATTTTTCAAGATATTCTTAATTTAAGATTATAGTGCCATCAAATGTTCGTAGACAAAAAATCAGCATGCATTACCAGGGGTTTTGAAAAAATATCAATTGATGAAAATATACAAAAAATATTAAACATATATTCTAGATGTTTTGTTTATCCAAACTTGTTTTAGAAGAAGTGTATAACATGCAGCATATATATAGACATTAAAATGTAGCACACATTTCCTTCAAGTATTGGAACTCTTCAACTCCAGGGAAAATGACAATGAAGTTTAAACTACATTGCGTATGTCCCTAATTACATATATGCATGACTGTACCTATACTTCATAAACTACTATTTAACTTGTAAAAAACCAATTTACTCAAAGTCAATAAAATAAAATATCTCAGTGTTTTTAATATCTTTGAATTCATATGAAGAAGGCTAGCATAAATGTACACACTCATGTTTTCATGTACTTAATCTTAGACTGTGAGTTACATATGTATCATGCTATAAAAATTGTAATACCGTAAAGCTTTGTTGAATCAATGCTTTAAAAATACTTATGCAACTCTGTTTTAAGAAGTCTTCAGTAGTTCAGTCTGTAAAATATTTAGATGCAATAACTTGATAATTAGGCACTGAAATGGTCGTCGAAGTTACCCCCCCCCCCCCGTTACTTGTTAATATAATAATAGTTAATCAACACAAATATTGTAATTAATGGGTCGATTGATAGAAGAATGATACAAGTATAATTGATAAATGATGTTAAGTCACACAATATGAATTGTCTTGTCAAAAGAAAGGGAGTTCGGTGTATTTTCTTAATAGAATATTGGAAAACTTAAGGATATTGATTAAGTTGGAGTACAAAGGGTAGTACAGCCAACTGCTAAGTGTATGAAAGAACTGCGAACGATAGCATTGTTCTCCCGCCTACCTCCTAGTCAATTTTCAAAAGTTAACGCAATTGAATGATTTTTCATATTTATATAGATATTTATATGAATTTTCATAAAACATTACTTCTTTGGGAAAACAAAGAAAGATAACTCTATAATTTGGGGAAAACTTGTGTTTTTCACCATAGAAATCAACGGAAAACGGAAAATACTTTCAAAACATCTTCCCCCCCCCCCCCCTGTGAAACAAAAATTCCTTTTTACAGGCAATATGGACTGTCATTTCCAAATTCATACCAAAGCTTTTTGTGTTTCACGGGGGGAACATATGTTTACAGACAAAAAACTACAAAAATGCTTATTTTTCACCAATTTCAAAGGGTTTTACAAGTAAAACATTGTATTTTATTAATTATATATGTTTAATTTTATACGCGTAAAACATAAGAAAAGATTTAAGGAACATTTATTCATATCTAAGAAAATTTTTTAAAAATGTGTTGATACTTTAAAGCCCGATTTCAATGGAAAATATCGTCTACCCCTTTATTTTAGGAGCTGGAATTAGGGGTAATTAACTATTTAACACTGGCATTTAAATTATCAGTCAATTACCATTGAACTGTTCTTTGCATTCAACAAAGATTTTACGGTCAAATTGCCATAAGTATTGAATTAAATGGATGTAAAATGCAGGCGGGAATCGAGAGTTAGCGTGCGTTGTTCTTTATAGTGTGTGCATGTTGCCATGGGCTAATTGCTCTGTGCAAATTGCTGTAGTCGTTGACCAGTAAATTGCCGTGTGTCGAAAGTAACAGACATTGTACCCTGTTTTTAGGTAAGTGGATGATCAGTGACAGATTAGATTGTGTTTGTATAACAAAGTCACTTGGCTAGGGTACAGTTGTAGAGTTAGGCAACTAGTAAGCAGTAAGACACCAGGCAGGTGTCAAGGTATCAGCTCAGACCAATTGTCCAAAGACGCCAAGCAGGTGTCAGTTGTTGTGTATAGACAGTTGTTTCAGAGTCAGGCAATTGTCATAAGGCACCAGGCAGGTGCCATTATAAACTGTAGATATATACAAAGCATATAGGTCACTTGCTTTAAAGACACCAGGAAGGTGTCACACTATTTGTATATTTTGCATTAATCATACCCCCATTAAAACTCGAAAATCCGAGCACGGACCTACTGACCGCTCAGGTCCGACACGTTACCAAAGTTGGTGGCAGCGTCGGGATTTTACTGGAGGTATGGGTGAACGTAATAAGCAGATTGAGGATAGCCTTAGAGAAACCTTACATAAGATGGAAGAGAAGCTGAAGAGGTATCGCCTTGACCAGTCTACACCTATAAGTAGGAGACATGACCAAGTGTCAAGCCGTGACAGTGGCCTTGCCATAAAGGACACGCCATCCAGACGCCCATACGATGGAGCAAAACCAAAAGTCCGATTTGCCGACGACCAGCATGTTGCAGAGAAACAGTATGACAACTGGTTAACAGACAACTTGTCTAAAGGGACACACATGCGACAGCCATCCCCTGAACCAAACGTCCCTGAAACATATCGTCAGACAGACAGAGACGATAGAGAGAGAAAGCTCACAGTAAAGCCAGCTACATATGATGGTTCAAGCTCCTGGCTGGACTACAAATGTCACTCTGAGGCTTGTGCCAATGTGAATGGTTGGAATGAAGAGAAGAAAGGATTATTTCTAGCCCTATCACTACGTGGTCAAGGTCAGGCTGTCTTAGGCGATTTACCAACTGACAGGGGACAACATTATGAGACACTTGTAATGTCCCTGCGAGAAAGGTTTTCTCCTCCTAACCAAACTGACCTGTACCGGGTACAACTTCAAGAGAGGAGACAAAAACCACCAGAAACACTTTCTGAATTAGGCC